CGCACTTATGTCTATTGAATACGACATTTTGCGTAGTTTGGAATTCGACAGCATAATACAAGATTTCGTTGAATCCAAAAATCGCAAAAAAGTAATATATTAGATCATAAGATTCTGCAAAATAATTTATCACCGAAAAATATTATATTTTTATTTGTATCTTCATAATTTTGTGCAAAATACACTTGTTTTTAAAGCTAAATTATTTTTGTCAACAAATTTTTAGCTTTTCGCAGGCCCCTGAATTTTGTAGGCCCTAGGCACGTGCCTAGTGTGTCTATAGGTTAATCCAGCCCTGAGGAAGAAGTAAGAGTACCAAAAGAGACGAAAAAAAGTAATAATTATCAAATTACCATAGAAAGAGAACCTTACTAGCTGTGACAATTGGAGAGGCAGAAGCCTACAGACCATCCCTGTCCTGGAAAATTATTCTCGAGAGTTTAACCAAACCATATGAAATAGAAAGTTAATGAACACATAAGAGAAGAACAAGCTGGGTTCCATAACGTGAACAGCACCATACAGCAAAGGTTTGCAAAGAGAAATATGATTGTACAAAGTCTTGATCTTCATAAACCTATCTATTTATACTTGAATAAAGCATTTGATTCAGTGAATGGAGTCATATTATGGCAGATCTTAAATAATTACATATTAAATATTTAAAAAGTTCATAAACATAATGAAAAACTCATATCATAATAATTAATACAGTGTAGAAGTGGATTGTTTTAACCTAAATTTTTGTAGTAAAAAATGCGGTCTAGATTTTAGTTTCACAAAAAGTTTTGCATCAAGAAGCTGCGAATTATTAATTTTATTTTGGCATAGGTACCGATACAGAAAAATTTTGTCTCAATAACTGTCTAAAAAATGCTATGTACATATACATACATAAATGAATAGTTTAGACAAATAATAACACTTGTATGTTTCAATATTAAATTCGTGAGAATGAATATTTACCTGATTTTTTCTCGGTTGAATAGTTGTTTACAATATTATATTAAATTCGTGAGAATGAATATTTACCTGATTTTTTCTCGGTTGAATAGTTGTTTATCATGACAGGATTGTAATTTAACTTCAATGGTATTAAAGTATTGCAATTATAATGACACGAAACCCTTAGAAAATGTTTTTGAGATAAAGGGGAAATAATAGCACATGATTGGATTTTGTTGAATGGTTGAACACGTAATTTTAACAAAGGAGATAGTGGGAGTTTTGACAGACGATTTAATACATATCCCGACATAATTAAACTTTTGGGTGAAAAAAACGATTATGTAATTTGGTTTTAACGAAAATAATCAAATACCGAGAAATGAAACAAAATTAATTAAGCGAAAAGTTTGCATTTTTTTACATTTAATTATTATCTATAGATATGAAATAACTGATGTTTAATCAAGACGGTTTTGGTGTGTTTGTTTATTATTTATCAAACGCACTTCTACTTGCGATTACGATGAAATTGAAATTGTTATCACAAATATTTGATGACCAAGTTATATAATAGGTTATTTGCCTATATTCTCTGTGGCTGCACAGGAGATTGTGATTTTGAAAAAAATTAAAACTACTGATTTTAATTATAAAAATAATATTAGGTTAAAATCTCGCAGATTTTTTTCTTTTAATGTTTGTAAAATATCTTCGCGATAAAATGAAACAACGCGTTTTCCCAGTTGCTTCAAATTTATAGGCAATATTTTACAAGTTTTTTCAACTGATTCAACTTAAAAACTGTTTTAAATTCTTGGGTGAAGCATATGAATTTCACTGTAACCTCGAAGAAAGCAATGTTATTTCCCTGTTAAGTTTGCTAACAGGGTTTTTACTTTGCACATTTTTTATCTAAAAATTACTTTAAGCATCATTAATAATATGAAAAAGTGATTTTCTCTGTTAAATTTGTTTAACANCTGTAAAGTGGCGCTGTTGTCAACGTCGGCGCGATAGCTCTGAGGCTATCTTACCGATAGTCGGTGTAATAGACACTGCCTTTTACTTTGCACATTTTTTATCTAAAAATTACTTTAAGCATCATTTATAATATGAAAAAGTGATTTTCTCTGTTAAATTTGTTTAACATTCCAGTGTCAATTCATCATCCAAGAACTTTTTAATATAAAAACAGGTAATTGGTACAGAGGTCTTGTTTTTATATCTCGTTTATCTTGAAAGCCAATTTCTCTAGATTTTCATTTATTTATTTCAATAAATAAATAAACGTTAGAAAAGTGATCTTTCCCTAAACTTTTTGATTATTAGAAAGGTGCATAATTATTTTTGTCAGGTTTGTTATAAAGGCTTCATTTCATTTGCTTATGCAATTTTTAAAAAAGGCGATGATTATTTTTCTTACTCAATATTAAGATTTCTAAACATATTGCTCGTTCTCTTAGCAGTTAAAAAAAAGTTTTTTTTTAATTGTTTTGATATACTTTTCTATTGAGAAACATATCCATTTTAGTAATTGCTATGCATGCCACTATGCATGTGTAGTGCAATTCTGTTTTGTTTGTAAAACTAGACATTTTTAAAAATTCAGACTAATTTTCTAATATTTTTAAATTGAAGTTTTGTGATTAGCTCACTTAAGCTTGTTAAAGCCAGACATAGATAAATTGAAAAAAGTTTCTTTAACCACAAAATCTAAAAAAAAATTTCTGCTATCAAGTTATTGACACTTGTAACTAGTCTAAACTTTTTTGTCCCTTCCTAACTTTCAAGAATTTTTTTTTAGAATGAGGTTTTATTAAAATGTTTAAATTTTTATTTAAAATTTTATATTGATTATTATATGTGCCAGTATATATTTAATTTAATTTAGCAGTTTTTGAAGATATAAAACTAGTAATTGACTTACCTTGTTTTATCTTATACTTGGCTTTCTTTTAATATCTAGTTGCTGAAAAATTTTAATGTAAAAATTTTTAAAAAAATTACTTACAGCCTTTTCACATTTGTGTATATTATGCATATCTGGTTGTTTGTTAGAGCTTGGTTTATACATGGTGCGTAGCATTTTCAAAAAGTGCTTATTTTCGTTTTCAGAATGAGATTTTATTAAAATGTTTAAATTTGTATTTAAAATTTTATATTGATCATTATATATGCCAGCATATATTTAAATTAGCATTTCTTGAAGATATAAAACTAGTAATTGACTTACCATGTTTTATCTTATACTTGGCTTTCTTTTAATAACTAAGTTGCTTAAACATTTGGAAAAAAAATTCTATTAACAGCCTTTTCACATTTGTGTATGTTATGCATATCTGAAGGGGTCTGTCCAGGCCGAATTTACTACCGTTTAGCGGTACCTTCACAAATTCAACTTTAGGAAAAACGGTAGTTTCACAAATTCAATTTTAGGAAAAACGGTAGTTTCACAAAATACTTTTTCTTAAAATTTCATTTTTGTATCCCTTAAGAGACGATAAATCCATATTTTTGTGTTGACTTTTTAATATAATTTTTAATTTTTCACAAATTACGTCTAAATTTTCACAAAATAGGTACCTGTCAGAAAAACCTAGGCAGACCCCTGATCTGGTTGGTTGTTAGAGCTTGGTTTAGTGTGTAGCAATTTTTAAAGGTGCTTATTTTCGTTTTTTAAAAGCCCTTGAAGGTGTTTTTAAAAAGTGCTTAATTTCCCCTTTTCGTAAATGGGATTTTTTTTTCTTTACCATGTTGATTTTCACCACATATTGTGCAAACGCATACTTTCCACATTGTTCTTTTCAACATCTTAATAATTCATTCAACCACAATCTATTTCCGTGTCCCGTCGGTCCATAGCATATGAAAACGCCGCTCATTTTACATGCTTGATGAAATACTTGATAGTACACATGTGTGTCTACTGAGCTGGGTTTGGTGAGATTCTTGCACTCTCATGTACAACTCTGCTGCATTTTGCAGGATATTCTTAATTTCAGGCTTCATTTTCCACCCTCTGATATGGAACCAAAAAATCACTTGAAATTGACTTAATCACGAAAATCCACTTTGAAGTTCATTTGTCCAATCCGAATTTTTTTAGTCAATATTACTTCAAAGAGAGAGTGATTTAACTTTCAAGCAATTGTGAAACTTCTTTACATTAAATTTATGCATAAAAATACTACAAGTTTTAAAAAAGTATGTTAAAAGAGTATAGATATAACAATATAACATGTCTCGTATTTATGTGTAGTAATAGTTACATGTGATGGATAATAATTTTAAAAAAAAATTTAACAATACTTAAATTTATAAGATAGTGTTTTAAAGTCATCTTTACACTATATGCCTAACAAATAAATTATTCATTTTTCTATTGACAAAACTGAAATATTTTTCATTTATGCCATTTTAATCTATTTGCTGGGATTACATACTTTATTATCTATAAGTAATGTGCATGTCCTTTTTTTTTATTTTACTGTACTTAATTTGATGATTTTCACTTCGTGAAACGACATTTTAAAAAATGCATTCTTTTGATATTTTTTTTATATTACATGTACAGTAGGAAACCGATTATTCGTAACGATCGGGACCATCGCTATTCCGGATAACTGATTTTTCCGCTTTTCTGAATCGCTACAGAAAGCCGTTTTTTTATTGTTAAAAAACTAAAAAAGAATTTAAAAAAAATTGGAAATAATCATAAAAAGAAAAAACAATGAAGTAGCACTAATTATTTCCAAAATGATGGCAAGGTCTTTCAAAAATGATCTTTCAAAAAAGAACGAAAAATCTTATGAGGAAAAAAAAAATTTATTTTTAATGGCGGAAAAACTTATTGAATTTTGTTCCGCTTTTTTGGTTTTCCGGTTTTCTGATATCCGGATAACGGGTTCTGCACTGTATTTTTTTTTTAAAATTACATGTACATTACTTATACATACATACTTTTCTATATCATACTTATTGACTTTTCAATTAAAGTCGTAGGGGAAAAAAAAATTTCTGAAAGTTTTATGAAAGATCAAAATTATTTCAATAGGCGATCGTAATGCTCGAATATGCCATCTGGGGGGAATTTTGCTTTCCAACACAACTAAATTTATTGCAGTGTTTGCATTTGAATGGGGGGAAAAAGTTTTAATAGCTTTTTTAAGATTTTCTGCTCATAAGTATAATTTTTTTATCCCTTATTTTTTTCTTTGAACCATCTCATATGTATTACTTAACTTAACCTGTTTTAAATTTAAATTGAGAAACTTTAAAAGAAATTTATCAATTAAGTATCTAGTGAAATTGACTTAAAAATGATATTTGTATTTAGAGCATGCCTGTTATTGAAGAAATTGACAGTGGTATTGATGCCAATAGTAGTTCTAACAGCAGAGAAGACTCTCCAACGATAAAAAAGAATAATATGGCTAACATGATTGAAGATGACTTGGTATGTTTATTTTACTTTTTAGTTTCTTTCTTTATCTTTTTAAGAGACAAATAGACGAGTACCATTACTTTGCTCTACAGTACTTCTAATGTATCAATTCAATTATGTATTGCTTTTCATTAGAAAATCTTATACTCTCTAAATAGATATAAGTCTACATGAATTAATACGAACATTATATGCTCAAAAATTTTTTTTACATTGTTATGTTTGTTGTGTCAGAATTTAGTTACTTTTTAAATGCTTATGCATTCCAAGTAGTTATGTAGTTGTGGCTTATCCTCCAACACCTGACAAAGTCAGACAAGGTTCATCAGACCATTGACCCTTAGAAAATCGAGAACCAGAAAAGGGGATACGTATATGTCCTCTCTGAAAAGTCCCAAACAGACCAGGATGTGTTCGGGAGAAGCCTGCTCAGTTTGACATTTGGAGCAGACCTCGAAGATTCTCCAGCCTTCGAAAAACGAGACTTTTTGTGTGACCGCTTACTAATCTGGAAATTTCGGTTTTAGAAGCTCTGTCACAATTGAGGGCGAATAAAGAACCTGGCTCTTTGCCTGCATATCAGTGATGGCAGTAGTTATTGATGTTATAAATTTTTTAAAAGAGGAAGAAAAAAAATTCTGATTTAAACCGAATTGTTTTTTTATTTAAATCCTGTTTTTTTTTGTTTTTGTTTTTTTTTATAAAGAAAATATTATTCTCAAAGCAACTGCTTAAAAATATTGACAAACTTAAAAAGAAAATTATAAATATGAGATAGCCTTTAAAAATTTCAGATCAGATAACGTGTTCTTTTTTGTGAAATGTTTTTTGCATCTACACATTATTCTGCTTTCTACAAATGCAGATCACAGTTGAAAATAAAAGGAAGAGAAATCTATTTTGTCCTTTCCTGAATTGTTGTTAGAACAAACTTTTACCTTACATTTTGTAGCCTTTCTAAATGGATCTGCATACCTGCCAAGTCTCCTGTTTTTTAACGAAGACTCCTGTATTTCACGACTATCTCCTATTTACCCGCATATTCGCAGATGTCTCCCTATTTGTTGAAAGAATGTAAGAAAAATAAAATTTTGGCGATAAAATATCCGCTGATGGCAAAAATACTTCTCTTATCCCTTAACAGATAGAGCTATTGCCAGTACTGCAGTATGTTGAGTGTTTATAGTTTAAGTAGAGTCGTGGTGTCTCAGGTGATAATGTTCGCCTTCCAATGAGGTGAACCGGGCTCGAATCCCAGCGATAGTTGGTCGATGCGAATTCCGCATCCGGCTTGCAGCGACCACAGTGCTGACGTAAAATATCCTCGGTGGTTGCCGGTTCGGCAAACATATGTTAGTGCCATGAAAATGTCCTCCACAAAGGCAAATTTCTCCCAATACTTGATCCAGGAATTCCTTTGTCATAACAAGGCAAGGGTCTGTTTAGATGAAATTTGGGTCCGTTAATGGCCCTTCACAAAATATCTTTTCATGAAAACGGACCCTTCACAAGATATTTTAACTTAAAAACGGACCCTTCACAAAATGATTTTTCTTTTAATCGGACCCTTCACAAATTTGTATATCTTCGTTATTGTTTTGTTAATCGAATTAATCCTTCCCAGGGCAGAAAACAAGAAAGATGAATCTAAACGAATTAAGTTTTGTCTTTGGCAGATGATTCTTTCATTATTCGTCCTTAATGAATATTCTGCGTTCAGCAGTATATGCTAAATACGAAATATGTGCATGTTGCATCTCTAATTTAGAAGTAGCAATTGCTGTTTATTTTTGAAAATTTAATTTTTCTATTACAATTTTACAGTGCCGAGCATAGTCTTGTATCTAGTTACAATTTGAAAACTCTTTGAAAAAGTTTTTTGCAATAACCGGACCCTATTTGCACAAATTCATCAAAACGGACCCTGGCTGAAAGAATGTGAGTAATTTTTTTACAATTTCACGAAAAACGGACCTTTCACAAATTGTCTGAACACACCCCTGCAAAGCTATAGAGTTGAACATTGGTGGTTGTAAGCCCAAAGTTGGGTCAGCTGATAGTTAAATAAAATAGTTTAAGTAATTATTACTTAAACTATATTAAGTAATGGTTTTAAAAAAATCTTCTTTAGATTGAGATTTATAAACATATTTTTTACTTCACCAAATGTAAGTGCTTATATTATTCTCAACAATGAATTTTTCTTTTTGACTTACATGATTATGCATGATGTATCAAAACTTTACTTGTAGCCTAAAAAATGTTGCCAGGTATGGACCTGGGGATAAAAAAAAAATTTTTTATATATATTCGCAAATTCTAAATCAAATATGGTAATAAGTTACATTTAAATTAAGATTCCCCTTCAATTCAGATGACAATATTTTTTTTCCTTAGTTCCTGCAAAACTTCAGATATAAGGCTCTCTATTTTATGGAGATAGTAATATTTTTTTGATAATTTTAAATGCATATGTTAAGTAGGTGCAGTTTTACACAAAATTTATTATAAAAGTAAATATAACTTAAAAGTAAGTATAAAAGTAGTGATCTGTGTTCATAACGAATACTATTGTAGAATAATCCTGCAGTGTAACATTGTAAATTTTATTCCTGACAATATAACAGTGAAGATTGTAGGGAAATAGAAACATTTATTTCAACTAGATAAAAAATATATTTACTTTTATTTAGTTTGCAGCTGCATAAGCCATTTTAATTTAAAATAAGGTCATTACTAATCACATTCCATATTCTGGGCCACCGGATAAATGCTTATGTTTATGTGGCTCTATACTAAATTGTAAACTATATGCAATGGGGAATATAATTAAAGTTTATCTTGAATGTACAGTAATGTTTTTTTTTTCTTCTTGTAAATTTCTTTTTTTCTTCGTATCATTTTGTGAAACTAAAAAACTTGTGTAAATTTAATTTATAACTATAATTTTGTTGATACGTGTTTCACAATTATTCCTTGTGCTTAAATTCTTGAAATTTTTATTTTTCTACTATATAAAGGTAATTTTTAAAAATGTAAAAGTCGGAATGTTTAAAAGTTTGTTTTATTAATTATTCTCATTTGTCAATTTTAAAACCTGCTATACTACTTTTAAAAGCCTGTTATTTAACTTTAGCTTGCAACTAAAGTTAAATACTTTTGTCTCAAGTATGTAATAATGAAAAAAAAAAACATGTCTGTTTTCAGGATGATATTGATGAAACTTTAAGTGAAAGACTTTGGGCTTTGACAGAAATGTTCCCTGAACCTGTTAGGAAACTTACCTCTAATCTTGTACATGGCTCCGTATCGGGTATCAAAAACTTTTACAGACTTGGTCGTTCTACCATGTGGGTCTTCTTCACATCATCTGCTATTTTAGTTGCACCTGTTCTGTTTGAAATGGAGCGCATGCAGCTGGAAGAGGCACAGCGACAGCAACAAAGACAGGTTACTATCTTTTTTTTTTTCTTTTAAACTATGCAGAGTTTATTTTTTTAAAAAAAAGCTTGCAATATATGTTTTCTTAATTTCTCTGAACTTATTATTAGTTATTATAATAGAAGTGGATGACTATCCGAAATATGCTAAAATTAAGGATGATTGAGCACCAAATAATCTTGGTTTTTTAAATGAAGGTTGTGCACTATTATAAAACTGCTGATAAAAACTAAAGTTTAGAGTATAAAGTATAATAAAAATTCTGTTAAAATATGACAATTTATGTTATTATGTATAAGGCAAATTAGTGGTTAGTCTTACTAACCATTTTCATGCATTGTGATTAATAAACAGTGAAGAAAATTTCTCTTTCCTTCACAAAAATTCAAATAAAAAGAGTATTACAGTCATTTTTGCGTAGATAGTCAGTTCCATAACTATTGTAATTATATTTTTAATTCATTTATTGAATTTTATTTATAGTATTTTTTTCTTCTTTTAGATCCTTTTAGGACCAAGTGCTGCTGTATCTGGTGGAGGAGGAGGTATGCACAGTTTAGGAATGCCAATGCCACCCCATATGGCTCATAGATAAATTGTATTATAATTAAAAAAAGAAAAACTCATTGCATCATTGAGATAGTCAATTTGTGTGTTTGCTTGTAGACTGTGTATCCACTATGTATGTATAATAAATGATTTGATAGCAATCATATCTTGGAGTACAGATTTACTTTTCCTATTTACTGGATTAGCTCAGACGGGCAACATTAGCCATATTTTTATACTTATTTTTGAGAAACAATCTTAATCACCCTTGTGCGTAGATCAGAGAATAGCAACCATACAAAGTTGTCAACCAGCCAAATTGCATTAGAAAACGGAGAAGACCTCCTTTCAGATTGCTTGAAAATTTTAAAGGTTACTAATTAGAAGCAACATGGCATCTAATAAACTTCAGTCAATGCTTGTTAGGACAACCCTTGTTGTTAGTGCATATAAGTCAGGGTTGGGTTTTTGACGTCAAAATGTATTTAAAATAAGCAACTAAGATAAATCTTTAGCATGGATTTTTCTATTTAATAATTCAGATTACATATTCAATTAAATGAAACAATAGCAAATATTAAAACTGTGATTTAAGAATTTTATTTTAATGCTTTTGAGTATGATGTTAGACATGAATATTCACTAAAGCCTACTGGCTTTAAAGGACCTGAATAATTCTATAAATTTATTGATCTGATTGAAAAATCTGTCGTTTTATACCCAGGGTTAGGTTTTTATCTCTAATATATAATTAACAACTAATTTCGTTAGTTTTGAGCAACAAAAAAAATCACTTCATAATATTCTAAGAGCTCTCATCGTCTAGGAATTTTTATGTAGGCTCAATGAAATTTTTAAGTAGTGCAATTATAATTTTAGTTTTCGTATTGTTGAAATGAAAATATTTATTTCATTGAATTAATTTGTCACAAGTTAATTCTTTGAATTTTTAAGTATTGGTGAAAGTTCTGGAAAAATTTAAAAACAACATAAAAGTCCAAGATACATTATCCAGCTCTATGATTTTAACAATGTCTAATTGTTTATGTCGATTATAAATTTCATGATCCTCGCTAGATGTTTTCAGGGAAAATACCAAAATTTTGCATAATATTTTTCTTTCAAAAAGTTAGTAGCCTAATTTTTAAGGTGGGCTTATGTTGCCATTGAGGCCGCCTGTAGGTGGCATTAGTGTTTTGTACATATTGATTTTAGTTTTATTGCTAATGTGTCTTAATAGGTTATTTATTGCTGTTTGTTCATTGCGCAGTTTATTTTACAAAAGGATTTAATATTTTATAGGATACAAATTTATAGTTAGTATAAAAGTTTCAAATAGCCAACAAGTAAAATTTTACAATCAAGATTGTATATTTATTTAAAACTATTGTTTTGTAAATAGCATATAAAGGTGTGAGAAATATTTTTTTACATTTTGATATTTACAAATCCATAATGAATGGAATTTTACATTTAAATAAATTTGAGATATACATTAATGACATTTAAAATATCTGTCATTTTATAATACAAAGCTAATAAGTATTTTTAAAGCTATAACAATTCCATCACCTTCATTCATGATGCAACAAAAATTTACATAGAATCTAAAATAAATTATAATAAAAGAAATAAATAATTTGAAGATTTTTTTATACAAATAAAAAAGTAAAGTAAGTTTGATAATAAAATGTATGCTTATGTAACATGCCTATTTAGGGAATTTTGGCAGCAGTTGTGATCCCTTGCTGAATGGACGAAGACAAAATCCTAGTTTTGTATTGAGTGCTAAGGCCAGTCATCCAAAATTTTAATACCTTTAAATAATACAATTTATGAAATAATCAAATATCTTTCTGGACAATAGATACAAGATACAACAAATTAAAGGAATAAACTTACCTGCTTATCATATTCTTGAGCACCAAGAACTGTTAATAGTTTATTAGCTTCTTCAGGTTCATGTTGCCCACCCCGTGAAAATGCAAACAAAACTTTCACTTTGCTAGAATCAAATTAAAAAAATTTTGCAATCCCTGACTGATATATACAATATATTTTAACAATGAAATAATGGATTAAATTTTATAGAAAAAATTATGTAATACTAATTTATAAACAAAAAGGGAACTAACAATCACTAATGTATGCCCTATATAAACATGCTAAGAGAGAAATCTTAATTAACTCTCAATTACTTATTGAATAAAACTGAATGTACAACTTAACTGCCAACATTATGAAATCAAAAAATTGGGTGATTTTTCATGTGGCACAATTTACGATGGAAATTTTGCAGCAGTTGGCACTACAGATAATGTTAGGAATGACGTGCACAGAAGAAAAAAAAGAGGGAAATTATTGAAATGCAAAACAACCTTGGCTGCAGAAAAGGGGGAAATTATAAGCTGGTTCATGTGCGCAAAATAAACACCACAAGATCGCAGATATTTTAATAGATAGATGTTATGAGTTTTTTTTTTTAACAGCCTTACATATTGTTTAAGAATAAATTGCAGTGATGAACGATCAATGATTCTATAAAAACATTCATTCTTCTAACATTTTTACTGATGATAATCGGGGCATTATAAAACTGCAGTGTGTCTTCTTGTCTGTATTTTCCCCAATAACTTTATATTTGTCCTCTATAGTCATTTAAATCATTGTGCGCAGTATTTTTAAAAAGTGCTTAAAGGTATTTATTTGCGTTTTTTAAAAGCCCTTAAAGGTGCTTTTTTTATTGGGTATTTTTAAAAGTGTTAAATTTTCTCTTTTCAAAAAGGAATTTTTTTTTACCATGTCTAGTTTTACTACGTATTATGCCAAAGCGTTCTTTTAACGTTTTTCTATTCTACAGTGTTGCCACAGGTAACCGAAATGGAACTATTTTCAGCCTAAGGCGACTATGGCAACTTATTTTGCCTGAAAAGGCTAAAAAAGCAACTATTTTAAATGTGCTTAATTGTCCCTTTTCGAAAATTTTATTTTTTTTACCATGTCGATTTTCGCCACGTAATATGCAAAAGCGTGCTTTTTACATTGTTCTATTCAACGTTTTAACAATTCATTTAACCACAATCCATTTTGGCTTTCTTTCGGTCCGTAGCGCTTTAAAGAGCCAATCATTTTATATGTTTGATAAAATACTTTGGATTCCGCAGGTGCGTCTACTGAGCTAAGTTCGGTGAGATTATTGCTGTCGTATGTGCAACTCTGCTGTATTACGCAAGTTATTCTCAATTTCAGGCTTCATTCTGATATCGAACCGAAAAATCTCATGATCATTGTATAATAGCTAATATAATCAAGAAAAGAGTTCTTAGTCAGAAACTAGTTATTTTATCATGATCATGTAAAATTTTAGAAAATTATTTTGTTAATGTATAGAGTACTTAAAAGGTGCTTATATTTTGTTGAAAGATTTGGCTACGCACCCTGTAAATGCATATACGTCAAGAAAACAATTGGAAAATATACATGAGAAAATTTATTACATACACAACTACTGATTAAATATATCTTACTTCATCCATATTTCTTTTGTGCTGTACAAAAAACTGTCTAGAGCAGTAGGGGAAAATGAAAGATCGGCTATAGCTCTTTCCATTTCACAGAGTACTTGTGGTGCTAAGAAAGAAATTCTATTTATTTATCACTTTTTTTAAATATGTTTTCTAAATTAGTTTGAAGTCAGAAAACTGAAAGTAAAAAAAATTTCTTAGTTCTAATTATATTGCATTTGGCTAAAACCAGTACCTATCATGCACAAATCCGATATGCTTTCTTAAGAGACNTTTTTTAAAAACCCTTAAAGGTGCTTTTTTTATTGGGTATTTTTAAAATGTGCTTAATTTTCCCTTTTCGAAAATAATAATTTTTTCTCTACCATGTCGGTTTTCACCATGTATTATGCTTAAGCACGCTTTTTACATTGTTCTATTAAACATTTTAACAATTCATTCGACCACCATACATTTCGAATTACATTCGGTCCATAGCGTTTTAAAGAGCCAATCATTTTACATGTTTGATAAAATACTTTGGATTCCAATTTCCGCAGGTGTGTCGACTGAGCTAAGTTCGGTGAGATTATTGCTGTCGTATGTGCAACTCTGCTGTATTTCGCAAGATATTCTCAATTTCAGGCTTCATTTTCCACCTTCTGATATCGAACCGAAAAATCTCTTGCTCATTTTATAATGGCTAATATAATCAAGAAAGGAGTTCTCAGTCAGAAACTAGTTATTTTATCATGATCATGTAAAGTTTTAGAAAATTATTTTGTTAATGTATAGAGTACTTAAAAGGTGCTTATATTTTGTTGAAAGATTTGGCTAAGCACCCTGTAAATGAATATACGTCAAGAAAACAATTGGAAAATATACATGAGAAAATTTATTACATACACAACTACTGATTAAATATATCTTACTTCATCCATATTTCTTTTGTGCTGTACAAAAAACTGTCTAGAGCAGTAGGGGAAAATGAAAGATCGGCTATAGCTCTTTCCATTTCACAGAGTACTTGTGGTGCTAAGAAAGAAATTCTATTTATTTATCACTTTTTTTAAATATGTTTTCTAAATTAGTTTGAAGTCAGAAAACTGAAAGTAAAAAAAATTTCTTAGTTCTAATTATATTGCATTTGGCTAAAACCAGTACCTATCATGCACAAATCCGATATGCTTTCTTAAGAGACAGCAAATATATTAAATAATAGGTTGTACCATAATTATTTGGCAGTACATCTTAATTGTAAATTGGCATTGAGAAATAAGATAAATATGACCAGAAATTGCAATATTTAACATTATTTTGATAAAAAGATTTGATACAATTTTTCAGAACATATTTTTACCTTAAAATGAAAATTCAATAGCAAATTAAATACTAGTCATTTTTTTAAGATTAGTAAATTACGGTGCAAAAACAATAATTGTTCAGCATTTTTCAATAAAAACTGGTTATGCTACTTAACATAAATTAAACATGCATCCGAGAATAATTTCTTACTGTATATTTTGGTGGGAGAAAAAAAGTATATTTTCTCTTGACTATAAAATAAGGGAATTAGTTGTGCTGATTTTTTACAAATTGAATGGAAATTTATTTATTTTTCATTAGCTGCTTTAACTGTATATTCTGAACTCTTAACGAGCTGATTCATCTAAATATCCAATGCTATCTAAATTCACTAATATTATTTTAGTTAGTATGCTAACATGACATAACTAAAGATGCAAGAAATAATGGAATTGATTACTGAATTAAAATATTAAGTATTAATATTGGTTAAACCTCTGCTTATTCTATCATTATATATATTATTAAGACATATATTTATTATTCTTTTATTATTAAAAAAAAAAGAAAAATTCAGATACAATAAATAATAAAACATAATAAAGAAATTTACGTTTCTCAGGTAAAGTTGCAGTTGTATGAAAGGCAATCTGAAAGTCTTCCAAACTGGAGACAGAAGAATCATTACCATACTTAGATGTAATGTCTATCTGAATGTGAAGCTCAGATTGGTCAACGTGATCGGGAATTTTAACATCGGGGAAAATACCCAAAAAGTTGCATTTCCAAGAATCTTCGTAAGTCACAGAATAATAAATGGGATGAACACATCCTTTGGGCAATAGGTCCTAAGAGAAAAAAAAAAGGAAAGATACTATTTGATTCATTCACATTACTATGCATTTATATTACTATAGGCAGAGTCATCTGGGCAATCATACAAAGTAACTAGAAAAGAAAAGAAGTTAGATTCATGGATTGCAAAAAATCAAATTAGGTGATTATATTGCCACATTTATGCATCTATTATTGTTATATTTTTAAATACAAATTTCTATTACATTTATCATATTTTTTTCTTAAAAAAAAAACTTTTTCATTCAACATTCCAATTGACTATATTTAAACTGCATTTTTCATAACTGAAAAGTAACATTACATTGTAAAATATTATGTGTTAAAAATGATAAGCAAAAACTTTAGAAGCAGATGGAGATTTTTTTTAATTGTATAAGGGGAGAAATTTTTTAAAATCTACAAGCAAAGAAGGAAAAATTATTAAAAGCTGCTATCATAAGCATATTCTAATAAAAAAAATTTAAATTTATAATAGCTTGTAATTTTGAACATAAAATTATAGGACACACTCTGGTATGCATAACAGGCTACGAGTATTTAATTTATAGACTTCCAAGTTATTTCGTTTTCGTAAGAGTCTTTTCCATGATGATTTACCAACATGAAATTCTGTCACATTTTTCTACATGAGATTCTTTACAACAATTGTCTGTTCTGCTTGAGATTTTATCCACTTAAATTTATAATAATTTCCTCTATATAACATAATGGTACCTCTACGATGTACAAAAGGATGGGAATAATTATTTTTACCAAATTTTTTTCCCTAAATTATATTTTCTAAGATTCAATCTCCTGACAATTTATAACCATGAAATTCATTTCCTATAATATTCTGTCTACAGACAGACCAGCTTTTTAGAAAAATTTCTTTTTAGTGGTAGTTAAGTGAGCATTTTAACGCTATTCTTTGCTTCGTAAATGTGATTAAAAATTATTTTCCACGCCACCACGTTTAAATGGTTGGAACTAGTTATTATGACTTTACTATAAAATAACTGAAAAAACTGAAATTAATAAAGCTGATTATGTCACGATCACTTAAAATTATTAAATACACTAGATTTTGATTAATAATTTTATATAAAAACTTTCTACTAGCAAATGTCATATTGCAATTTGTTAAAATATGTGTAACTGTCCTAAATCATAATTTGTGCATGAGTTTCAAACCATTCATTTACCTTTCATCCAGTGACTTATTTCAAACAATTTCACGAGAAAGATTGCTTACAAAGCTAATATTAATGGGAGTTTTCTTTTTAAATTCACTACAAATATAACAGATTATATATTTCATAGAAAAAAGTTCGAAGAAAATAAATTGAAAAGTACACATTTATTAGCATATATTATCAAGTTATATATTTTCTATGTGATTTAATTTCATACCTTCAAGCAAGTGATCAAAGACTTCATTAAATGCAAATATTTTGATTTTATTATTATTTGATTCCCCACAATGGTGTGATACGCCAAGCAATGAAATTTTTCTTTACCTAACACCTAGAAAGAAAAATTAAATAATTTAAGTATACGCAATAGTATTTAAGTATGCAAAATAATTTATTATTAAAATAATTTCAGTATACAAAAGGGATAAAATCACTATTTATAACACTTAAGAGTTTCTTGCACACAGTTTTCAAATACAACAGATATTTATTATATCAAAGTGTTACAAATTAAACATACTTATAGATTGATTTCAATATAACTAACTATACCATTATAAGATCAAATGCAAGGAAATATGTTTTTAAATACAATTATAACTATATAGAAACATTTAAAATTTTTAAATCATATGTTTAAACAATTACCAGATAAACTAAATATAAAAGCATTCTTACCAACTCAAAATATATTTTCACGATCTCTGAAAAGTAAGTAATAAATTTTTTTGATCTATTCAACTTATTGTTTTCATGCTTCAAGATTTGCTTTCGAAAAAAAAAACTGCTTAATTACGAAGAAATAATTTGTACGTTGCAACTTAATTCATATGTATTATTAATTAATTAAGAAATATATTTATAATTTGAAAACCATAAGGAACACATTTTAGTACATAAAAATCAGGCAATTTTATCAAGTTATTTATATCAGTACATTTTATTACTCCATGTACAGTGCACAAAATAAAAAACGAACCACCTTGAATAACTTTTGATCTAATGATCGGATCTTCACGTTCTAGGACTCATTCTTAATGGTTTCAGGGGGTGACCTCAAATGTGTTATATAACTAGTGCAGACTATTTTTTAAAATGCAAAATCAGATACAAAAACGCACTTCTCTGACTAAGCATACCTTTTTGTTCGACCGTTTTTCAATTCTGATTTCTGACCCCCACAATATAGGGAACAGTTGCAATTTCCAGAAATCCGAATCTGTCTAAAAAAGGAGAAAGTGTGTTTTTGTGTCTGATTTCGTAACTTAAAATATTGTCTGCTCTAATTAAATAGCATATTTAAGGTCACCCCCTTGAACCATTAAGATTGGGTCCAAAAACATGAAGATCTGATCGTTAGATCAAAAGTTATTCCGGATGGTCTGTTTTTTATTTTATGCACTGTACATCTACTGATCTCGCAAAAGAGACCCATGTTTAAATCTCATTGACAGTTAGTTCATTTGATACTGCATAAATTCATTTATGCAGTATCAAATTAGTTCATTTGATACATATATTGGCTTACATAATAGTGACATAAAATATCAGTGGCAAACAGACTGTTAGTTAAAGCCTCATTGTCATCAGGCTAACCAAGGTAAGTAATTAGGGCTTTCTTTTATATGCAAGCAGTTCTAATGTAGGTAAGTTTTACTGAAATTTCTTCCAAAAGATTATGTTTTCGATAATATACATTCCCTTACCTTAGTTAGGTCAAAAATTTTAAATTTATGGACTAGGTCAAAAAAATTTTAAATTTATGGACTAGACATTAAGTCACACATCTATAGGATAATAAAGGAATCGACTGCTCAATGACAAAAGATGTAAAACAAAATTTAAAATAAAAATTGTGCAAGTAAAATATATTAAGACGAATGTTCAAATTTCGACCTTCAAAAAGAATTGCAATGACTAATAATCTATAAATCATCAAAATTTAACTACATTCTTATTGAGATCTTTGAAACCATTAATCTAATTTCCACTCGGCTTTATGATATTAAAAATAATTTAATTCTCGACAATCTAAAATGAATAAAATGTTTTTATGTCTGCATTTTTCAATTTTTATAGCCTTTCTGACCTGTTCTAGTTTTCATTTTTCTGCATCACTTTTGCTTATATGTAGTGATCATACATATTTCAACATGATGATGAAACATTTCAAAAGTTTGAAAATCTTTGATATAAGTCATCATAGTTATTTAAAAGACTATTAAGTGCTTTATTCTGTAAACTAATTCTTAATAATCTAATTAACTTAAAAATATTTTCAAAATTAAGCATGGATTATATACCTGATAGACCTCTCTTATAGAGGAAAATGTAACAGTTTCCTTTGAAGCACTTTCATCTCCTATAACTGGTACATCTTCAGTGTTATTTCCAATACTATCAGCATTAGCTGGGTTATCAGGACCAGACTTTGAAAAATGTATTTTTATAAAACCTTCATCTGTCTCTATGTAAATAAACAACAAAATATTAAAAATAGATAGAAAAGTAAATGTGTGGTGATGAACAAAGCATAATTGAGAGCTAAATATACACAATGGTAAATGGAAATAGAATTCTATTACTATCAGGCTAATAGTAGGTTTCTATAATTTTCTATTTCGTATTGTAAAAAAAGCTACCTTAAAATTATTTCCTAGAAAGGAAAATTTTTCACTAAAATTTAACTTGCAATTAAAATGTTAAAAAATTCAAGTTTTTTTTAAAAATTAAAAAAAAAAATTTTAATATTTTTTTAGTTAAACCAATAAATGAATATCAAATATCAAGCATTTTAATGTAATTGAATTTTTGTACATGTTAATATGTTTATAAAATCGCATACACCAGAATTGNGCGAATGACATATTACAATTTGTTAAAATATGTGTAACTGTCCTAAATCATAATTTGTGCATGAGTTTCAAGGAAATGCACATTTACCTTTCATCCAGTGACTTATATCAAACAATTTCACAAGAAGAATCGCTTACAAAGCAAATATTAATGTTTTTTTTTAATTCACTACAAATATAACATATTAAATATTTTATTCAAAAAAGTTTGAAGAAAATTAACTGAAAAGTACACATTTATTAGCATATTATCAAGTCATATATTTTCTATGTGATTTAATTTCATACCTTCAAGCAAGTGATCAAAGACTTCATTAAATGCAAATATTTTGATTTTATTATTATTTGATTCCCCACAATCGTGTGATAGGCCAAGCAATGAAATTTTTCTTTACCTAACACCTAAAAAGAAAAAGAAAATAATTTAAGTATACGAAATAGTATTTAAGTATGCAAAATAATTTGTTATTAAAATAATTTCAGCATACAAAAGGGATAAAATCATTATTTATAACACTTAAGAGTTTCTTGCGCACATTTTTCAAATACAATGTATATTTATTATATCAAAGTGTTACAAATTAAACATAGTTATAGATTGATTTCAATAAAACTAACTATACCATTATTAGATCAAATAAAATAAATACAAGGAAATATGTTTTTAAATACAATTATAACTGTATAGAAACATTAAAAAATTTTAAATCATATGTTTAAACAATTACCAGATAAACTAAATATAAAAGACCGAACTTAGACCAAATTCAAATTTCGATCTTCAAAAAGAGTTGCAATGACTAATAATCTATAAATCATCAAAATTTAACTACATTTTTCATATTTGTGAACATAAACTCATTGAAATCTTAGAAACCATTAATCTAATTTCCACTCGACTTTATGATATTAAAAATAATTTAATTCTCGACAATCTAAAATGAATAAAATGTTCTTATGTCTGCATTTTTCAATTTTTATAGCCTTTCTGACTTGTATAACTTCTAGTTTTCATTTTTTTACATCCCTTTTGCTTATATATAGTGATCATACATATTTTAACCTGATGAAACATTTCAAAAGTTTGAAAATCTTTGATATAAGTCATCATAGTTATTTAAAATACTATGAAAACTTTATTTAAAAGACTATTAAGTGTTTTATACTGTAAACTAATTCTTAGTAATCTATTTAACTTAAAAATATTTTCAAAATTAAGCATGGATTATATACCTGATAGACCTCCCTTATAGAGGAAAATGTAACAGATTCCTTTGAAGCACTTTCATCTCCTATAACTGGTACATCTTCAGTGTTATTTCCAATACTATCAGCATTAGCTGGGTTATCAGGACCAGACTTTGAAAAATGTATTTTTATAAAACCTTCATCTGTCTCTATGTAAGCAAACAACAAAATATTAAAAATAGAAAGAAAAAATAGAAAAATAAATGTTTGGTGTTGAACAAAGCATAATTGAGAGCTAATTATACACAAATGTAAATGGAAATAGAATTCTATTGCTATCAGGATAATAGTAGGTTTCTATATTTTTTTTTCATATTGTCAAGAAAGCTGCTTTAAAATAATTTCCTAGAAAGGAAAATTTTCACTAAAATTTAACTTGCAATTAAAATGTTAAAAAATTCAATTTTTTTAAAAAAAAAAGTTAAACAATTTTTTAATATTTTTTTTTTAGTTATATCAATAAATGAATATCAAATATCAAGCATTTTAATTTAATTTAATTTTTGTATATGTTTATAAAATCACATATAACAGAATTGACACAATTAATTCTCCATTTTTATTCTATTTCTACATTAATTCAGTTAAAAATTCTGCATAAACTAGTACATAAAAAATTACTAAAAGTGAGAACATATAAAAAAACATAGTAAAATATGTTCAAAAAAATATGACAGTATTTTCTTATATACTGCTAATTCTGTATTTGAAGGATTTGATAAACTAAACCTCATATACTGCATTGTAAAACATAAACAGTCTTTAAAACAAATACATCCTTACAATAAAGGCGTAGGAAAGGCAGATAATTTCTGTTACCAGCATATTTTTATCACTTAAGTACAAAAAAATAGTAGTTTATTTCAATTTGCTTATAAATAATTTGTAGTCTAAGTAGTGCTTGCATAAAAATTTAAGTTCTTTTCTTTCTTTCAGAAAGATCTCTGAAAGTTGACGAATAATAAATAAAACATAATCATTAATGAATATAACAACCTTAATGATTTTTTACTTGAAAATAAATGATTTTATAAGATTTTTTAGAGATTAAAATTAGTATTTAAATCATTTGATTAAAATCATTAACGCCTTGCTCACAATTACATTCATTGTGCATTTAAAGTTTAAAAAAAATTAACACAAAAAATGCTACATGCATACCAGGAAAAAAAATCGAAAAGTACTTATTATAAAAGGAATAATTCATTTATCATAATTTAGTAAAATTAAAAATCAGTATTTCCATAAAATCAAAAAAATTTTAAAAGAAAAGATATTTTACCTTCTTGCCTTTCCAAGTCAATAAAAGTGTCTTCATTAGGAAAACTTTCAACTAATCTTTCTGTAATGCGTACAGCTCCTGCTCGTAGTATCCAAGTGAACCACATGTGAAGGAAGGAAAACACTTCTTTGTCATTTGTCAGATCAACTAAAGATCTTGCCTTAATGTTGCCTCTCCGCCTACGAAAAGTGTCAAGGGTCAGACGTGTCACACTGTTTAATCGCACTGCTCGCAGATTTTGCTCAGATTGCTCTGCTCCATACACCTATAACAAATGTAATTCAACTATTTAAGATGTTTTTTTTTCCTAAATAAACACGAAAATTAAGACTTTGGCAGAAATAACCATAAATCTTTTATGTAAAAATAACACAGGTGCATTGATCAAAAAATTAATTAATAAATAATATAAACAAAAAGTTTTCTTATTTAAAAAAATTCTTTTAAAATATGAAATATGTCAATAAATATAACTCCAACAACCTTTTAGACTGATTTTTTTTAATCCTTCTCAGCATTTTGAAGAATAGCTACCTAATTCTACACAAATAGTTTCAACTCAAACAGCACAATCAGTTTTTAGAATAAGATTTAAATATACGAAACAATGTAGAATAGCATCTAAATTTAAAAAAACAAAAACTGTATTTAAATTATAATAATTACATTAGCCTTTTTTTATTAGTACATAGCAACATTTTAAAAATTATAATTGGATTACATTGAATTTAGTTTTTAACTGCTATAGTGCACAAAACTCTCAAATATTATATTCTGAAAGTAACAATCACTTTTGTTATAAACTAAGTACAACACCATAAAAAAAATAATAAATGAGAGGGAGCAGCAAAATAACTGCAGAAAAGACCTCAAAGGCTTCTCAGAATTCAAGATGTGGCTAATCTGACAATGGTAAACTCCCAAAGGTGAAAAAAAGATTATGATCTAGATACATGGAATATAAATCATTGTCCGAGTTGCTATATTGGCAAGTGAGGGTACAAAAGAAAAAAAATCTATCAAAAATTTTCTAAACAAGTGAGAATAAAAATAAAATAGGAAGTCCTTTTATCAGATGAAACATTGAGTCAAGATTTACATTTAAATCACTAAATTTTTATGAAAATTAATTCAAATGGTATATATAATCAGTATATTGGATAAACTTTGAAAAGAACAGGGATAATTTACCTTTTCAGCTTTTTCTTGCAATTCATGTATAATCTTCTGGAGATTCTGGACGAGAAAATGCCAAGAGTTAAGCAAGAAGATCTTGTCCCTCATGACAATTATGATACTGTACCAACTTTGAAAGCCTCTAGCTTGACTGTCTTTAAGAAAAAACGTGTGACTGAGTACATGACCTCTGTGGTCATCTCCAAAGAAGATGGGACCCTCTCTCCCAGGACACACCTTCAAACAACACCCATATTTTATTAATAAATCATTATCATCATAGAAATAGCAATAATAAAAATAACAGCTACAAAATTAAATTCATTACTGCAAGCTACACCAGAAATTTTGTCCTACACATATTTCTATCATTACCTTTAAATCAACAAATATAACATACATAATGTATAAACTTTTCGATGCTAAATAAGTTTTTTGAAAAAAGTTTTGTTTTGTTTAGCATTGAGTGACATTACAAAAATTCAGTGTGAAACATAAAAATTAGAAAGTAAGCAAATTCTAGGCTATAAACTAAATTTGATTTAAAATGAACAGTTAAAGAACAAAAAAAATTTATTTATACCTGTTTAAAATCTGAATTTATAATTTACTCTTAGTATATAGTATATATCAACAAAAAAACTAGCTTCATGCATAAATGCAGTTAAAAAAACAAAATGCCACTTAATAAGTTTTTTTATTTGTTTCGGTAATATCAAGTTTCTTTTTCTTATTTAATAACTGAAATACATTATAAAATGAAGGCACATATAAATTAAGTTAGCTTCCTACACTGTGTGTAATTTTTGCAATGATGTGAAGGCGGTGTATTGTTTTCACCTGTCTAATGATGTGTATTGTACATTGGACTGTATGTACCTTAAAGTAGTGTTAATCTAAGCACCAGTCATGGGAAAAATTATGTATTCAGCATAGGTAGTTGATACCTTTAACAACAGGCACTATGTGCTGTGTTAGTGACCTTTCAAACGACCTTCATGGGCAAGAGAACTTTTTTTTTAATTGAAACACATTACAAAATGAAAGCACATATAAATGAAAGAAAATTTAAATTAAGTTGGCTTCATATAACAGTGTATAATTTTTGTCACAATATGAAGGAGTGAATATTCTACTTTGGATGGGTTTTTTTCAGTAATGTGCAACTAAACTTCTATTAATTTCTTAGTAGGTGAGAAATTGTAAGAAAATAAAACCCTGGAATATTAACACTTGAAAATAGGACTAAACAGAACTTTATTTATTTTGTCATTATTGCCAGTAAGTTACTTTGTTCATAAAGTGCAAAATTTCCACTAATTAAATTTACCTTCTTTATGAATTTTTTTTTTTTTTTTTTTAAATCTATCTTTATTACTCTCAAAATTAACTTTTAAACCCAGAGTTGGCAAGGTTTAGGACAGAATGGATAAATCCAGGGTTTAAACTGTCCTGTCTGAAACCCCTTTGTCCAAAACTGTCTTAACCCCTTTATCTAAAATTGTCCCAAACCTTTTTGTTCAAAGTATATCACAATTTTAAAAAAAATAACGTGAAAAATAAAAGGTTAATTTTTGAACAAGAAACAAAATGAAGATAACTTTTTAGTTTACTAAAAAAATTTATTATAATTTTTAATATTGCATTATTTATCCTTATGCAAAAACATAACTTATCAGTATTAAAAGCATATTTATTCACATTTAAAGGATAAGGTATTCACTTTTGTTGTTCAATGAATTATGGAGCTTCAAAAGTTATAAATCTTTTCCTACTATATTATTTTCCTGTAATAAGTTAAAGCAAATTGTATAAAAAGTATCAAATATTAATTTATGAAATTATTATGCGCAAAATGGTTACACACATAAAAAATTTTCCTTTTGTCAATGTTTTAAGGTTTTGGACACTTTAAGACAGTTTAGGACAGTTTTAGGCAGTTTAGGGCAGTTTACAAAACTAGTTTAGGACATCCAAAACCCCAACCCTGTTAACTACTTAAATATGTTCACATTTAATTTTTAAAAAATCCAACTTTGAAGATAATGCCTAGAAATAAATAGCATTTAAATTTAACAGCTACAACTGAAATAAGATTCAAGCTATGTTCAAGCACAATGTACTTACCTCACAACTTAGACTGCGGACACAAGCTTGTCTAACTGTGCTAAATACATCAGGATGTAAAGGATACTGTGTGCTGACAAAGCTGACTCTCGCTTCATGGTCATTGCTGATGAATCCTCTCTTTTTATTTGTCATTGATGTACACCCCTTCAAATAATGTCTCCATTAATGTCATTAAATATTACAGAAAAAATACATTATAGATAATAAAAAAATACTGTTAGTCGAATGTAAAAGCAGATTAAATCACAATATGATTAAAAATGCTTTATTATGAAAACAAAATTTACAATAAATACAATTAAGAACACAATTCTTTAACAAATACCTATGAAATCTTGAATGAAATTTGATCTAAGATTATTTAGAGCAACAAGGATTTACTCTTTATGTTTTATAATTTAGTGATATTTATTGTCAGCTACATTTCGATTATACATTGAAAAACCTATGTTTCAAAAGACAAACTGAAAAAAAGTCATTTACAGAATGAAATTGCTAAAAAAATTATTATTGTAAAATAGCATTCGAAATGTTTGTAGTTTTTGTATTGTAGATCAGGGTGCATAGCTAAATCTTTCAACAAAAATAAGCACCTTTTAAGTACTTTTTAAAGACTCAAAAAAGATTTTTAAGCACTAATACATAAGCAAAATGCACAATAATTTTCAAAGACTTTACATGATCATGATAAAATAACTAATTTCTGACAAAGAACTCTTTTCCTGATTATATTAGCCATTATAAAATGATCAAGAGATTTTTCGGTTCGATATCAGAGGGCGGAAAATGAAGTCTGAAATTGAGAATATCTTGCAAAATGCAGCAGAGTTGCACATGAGAAGGCAATAATCTCACGGAATCCAGCACAGTAGATGCACATACGGNTAAAATGATTGGCACTTTCGTAGCTATGGGCTGACGGTATGCCGAAACAGATTGTGATTGAATGAATTGTGAAAACTTTGAATAGAACAATGTGAAAAGCACACTTTTGCATAATATGTGGAGAAGTAAAAATATCTCATATTAGAAATGAGAAAATTAAGTACTTTTTAAAAACACCCAATAAAAAAAGCACCTTAAACAGGGTTCATGCTCTACTTTAGAAATAAAATTCAAGGACTTTTTAAGACTTATTATAAAATTCTCAAGGACTTAAATTTTAGTAAAAGATAGACTTAAATTTTACATTTTAAACTAAAATGTTTTGACGATAATAATTAGTTGACAGTCGATAATAGCAGTACTGAAAAATAAGACTTCCATTGCTCTCCTGATTTCGGAAAGTGATCTAAGTATAAAAAAAGCAAGGGTGATTGGCATCAAGTCAAGAATAAAATTCATGATGCATAAAAACATTGGATTTGAATTTTGCATAAGGCCTATTTTAAGCTAGGTATACAACATCTGAATAAGCAAACATTCGGGCAGAGGACGGGGATGTTCTATATAATACTGTGATATCAATTAGATATTTAAAAACAACTCAGCCGGGAGATTTTTATTTAATATTTAAAGTGGCAGAAGCATTTAGACAGTGAAATTTAAATTGTTCTTAAATATAATTTTGAAATTTTGACCACTTTTCTATTAAAGAAAATTAATCAATTATTGGATGTTGCGGCTTAATTATCATTTTAAATTTATTACCGGTCAACCATTTTAAATTGAAACAGTTGCCAACTTTCACCTCAATATCTTCTGATAGATTCTTACTAACAATTTTGGTCACTTTAACTGCTTTAATTAACCACTCACACCTAAATAATTTTTTTTTTAGTAGCATCGATCATACGCACTTGACATGGTCACGTGAATACGAATCGTAACGAGTAGTTTTCAAATCGAGTATAAATACGAAAATCGATGTTTGATATTGCAAAATGTGTGAATACGAATAGCGACATTAGATTTTTAAATTGCGGAAAAACTAATCACGACATTGGGGTTTAAAAACGCTTAAGTAAAAACTGCGATATTGATTCTTAAATTGCTTTAATGGGAATTGCAAGTACAATTTTTGAATCACCCGAAAGCGAATCGCAGCACATAACTTTTAAATCAGGTTAATACGAAGATCGATGATTGATATTAAAATCGCCTGAATAAGAATGGAGATTTTGTCAGAATCTGGAGCGGTTCCCAATATTTAAAATTCCTAAAATCAGCCGAACATACACAAAATCCTAAAATCAAACAGTACGTGTCATCATCTGAAAGGAGAGAAAGTTGTTCTCTCACACTTACGTGCGTCAAAAGTTGAACACAGAAATAGGTCTGTTTTCCTGAGTTTTCGATACTTTTCAAGGTAATTTTGAATTTTTCAAGGATTTATTATCATTTTCAAGTACTTCTAGGGACCCTTGAAAATCAAAATGAAATTCAAGTACTTTTCAAGGTTTTTTCAAGGCCGGGGGAACCCTGTTAAAGGACTTTTAAAGAACGAAAATAAGCACCTTAAGGCACTTTTTAAAAATGCTACGCAACATATAGATTAATACAGAGGTTTCTACTATTGGGATAGGAGATAGTAAGCATTTCAGAGGCTCATTCAATGATCTACAAACTCCTATAAACATATAACATACCTCACAATTATCAGACTTTGGAGGGGGTGATCCAGGTTCCTGAATAGCAGTACGCTGAGAAAAGAATGAAGGGCCATACCATGATTTACGAGAAGAGTCTGATTTTAAAGTCTCAGCTGATGACCATTGAGTTTCCTCTGTATCATGAAAAGCTTGAGTACAGAACAAAACACTAGGGCCGTGAAGTTCACAGAAACTACAAATTCCAATTACCGCATTCATCTAAAAGAGAAAAATTATTTTTAGTTCAGTAAAGCAGGAACTATATTATTATATTTTGAAAAAAAATGTACCTTTATGGTATTGAAAATTCTTTTTAAGTCTACATTATATCATTAGCAAAATATTTATGATCTTATAAGAAATAAATTTCCACTAATAATATAAATACACATGCAAAATAATTTTTTGATTTAGAAAATTGAAAAATTTACTTTGTAAAAAAGAACTGAGTAGCTAAAAAAAAAACACTCAAATTTTAACTGTATTTTTTTAAATTTTTAATTAGAATTTTAGTTGGCATTTTAGTTTTTCTTTTGTTTTTACTATAATTAAGAATTGAATAATTTAGAATATTGACATAATTGTTATAAGTTCTGAAAAGTTTTACTCGCACAAGATATACAAAAAATGAAATTATATGTCATTTAAAAATTGTCACCAAAGCTCATTTCTACCAATTTTTAAAACACAAACAATTTTGATCAATTATACAAATTATATTTATAATGTAAAACAAATTATAATAGAGAAAATAGTACAGCTAAAAAATTTTAAAAAAAAATGGTGCTTTAACCAAATTACAATCATTATACTATCCCTGAACACAAAAATGCACTTTAAAATTTCAAAAAAATATTAATTCAATTTTCAATAATATATCATTTAAAATGTTTTACCATATTTACTTATTAATTATTGATAAATAATTATATAATAATTATAATATTAATTCATTATTGATTATTCAATCAACACATAAAGAAATATTTAATACCAACATTGATTATTAACATGTGTTTAAAGCAAATAGATGACGGGATTGTAATTACATTTTTCTATGCAATTATAATTCAAAACTCTCACTAAATTCTAAATTCCAATTTTTTTTTTTCATTGCTGGTCATTAATTTGAGTATTTAAATGTATATGGTCTTAATGTAAAAATCATTAACATTATGTCCTAATTGTCTTTGACTAAAGTTAATGTTTAAAGAAAATCACAAATATGTATTTGATAAATATTGAACAAATAATGCTTAAATTATAAATAGAAAAAATTTAGTATAATAACAAAGAGTACAAATCGGCTGTTTGTTAATAGATTCTAGAAAAGTCATGTTTTTAAATGAAATATTTTCATGATGAATAATCAAACATTTTTTAAGTAGTTCAGTAACATGAAACAAATAAATGTAAGAAAGAGAGACACTACACCATGTAATATTAATGGAGTATAGCAACTAACACAGTTTTTTTCAATATATTAAGTACAATAATATTTATGAAAGGCTAGTTAATAAAATATTACTTTCTGCTAAATAATTTAATAGTTAATAAAAATACAGAATATAGGAAAAGTAGCAGATAACTACCATCTGCATTGCTTTAAATAAAATCTATTATAACGCGCCATAAGCAACATTATTTCCATAGAAAACTCCTGCATTTTGTATTTAGAATTCAAAGTATCTATCTGTATATATAAATATAAAACTGTTAACAAAAGCTGAATTTTTTAGTTTAATTTAATGATTAAAACAATGACTTTTTAAAGGAAAAAAAATTGGGTCATTAAAATCGCAGTTTAAATAATTTACATCTGACTATAAGGCTTAAAGAATCATAGTGCAGTTGTGATTATTATAGTGATAATCAAGTTAAGAATCAAAGTGATAATCAAGTTTCCCCTTTTCCTACAATTTAAAAACTCAAAATTGAATTTTAAAAATTTGCATTCTTTTTAGAGAAGGCGCAAAAGAATGAAAATAGAATATATAAAAGAAAGAAGAAAATAGATGAGAATATTCAAAGAAAATAAGAATTTTCAAAAACAGAATTGAAATAAAAGTCAATATTTTTCGAAATATAGGGCATATAATTTTAAAATATTTATTAATATCAGCAAATTCGTCAATCACAAATTCGTACTATTTTTAATTTAATTTTTTTGCTTTTAAATGAAATATGATGCGCCAAAATATTATTTTGCTACACTTGGTTACACAAAACAATCGTTAGAAAGATACATAAAAGTTGAAATATAAGATTATAACAAATTATCCTGAACTGATCCGATTGGAAATTGTGTGGAGAAAAAGTATAACACTTCATTTTACCCTTTTTCAATAAAGTAACTTGTAGCACATTATAAAATTATAAATTATTTTTTATTAGAAATCGTAAACAAGTCACCAGTCAGAGTCACAACAATTTATACTTGTTTATATAAACTGTTTCCAGCTGCCTATTTCTGTTGCTTTTAGGGGCAACTGAGGAAAAATTACCTCATATTTGATACATTTTTACTAACAAGCGCAGATTTTAATGGCGATTGAAATGGGCTGCAGGTGGCGTAGAGCAGAACTCTTTTTCTATGGCAACACTTCACATTCTTTCCCCATTAGCGTGTGGAAAGTCATAGAGGAGGGAAGCACATTAGTTTCTCTCTTGATTTTCATATAGATTAAAATCTTTTAACTTGAAAAACTATATGGAACTGAAAACTACATTAAACATAGTTCTAAAGAAAAGTATCGTGGAAATTTTAAAAAATATTTTTATTAAATAAAAAGGAAAAATATTAAGAAAAGGGAAAATATAGTAGTACATTCCTATACAACTGAAAAGAGGAGGAAAGGGAAGGGCTAATGGCATGAAACCGGTCTCTCCCCAGATGGCGTATTCGAGTGTTGTGATCGCGAATATAGTTGTGAGTTTTTAGGTTCGGAGATTTGAGAAACTTACATAAGCTGACCAACAACCTCAAAAAATTTAAAAACTGGCAGTAAACTTTCCATATGAATATTTTAAAATTAACTGCTTACTCTTTCCAAATGCCTCGCCTGAATTCTAGTTCTAGTACAAAAATAGTTTTTTAAAAAGGTCAAAATGTAAATTTTCGAATGTTTCCTTAGAAGTTTTGCTACCAGTTTCTTTAGCTTTTTGAGGATGCTACTCACCTTCATCCTTTAAGAATTAAGGGCGACTCTCAATAAATGCGATTTTTTTTCGCATGCGAACAAATCGTATCGGGTGAGAATGGTCCTTTAATCACGTTTTGTCCCATTTTCATTTCTGCCAACCACAAAAGTGATTCTTAGATTTTTTGTAAACGTATTTGTTCTATCTTTACTTAAATAATTGCATGGGTAAACTTTTTATACAGTAGATATGGTTTTTATATATAGTGATATACTACGTATATAAAGCAGGTCGGCTCAATCTTCAGGGGCACCTCAAAGCGGGAATATATATATATATATATATATATATATATATACACATTTATATTACATATATTATATGCATTATATGTAATTATATACTTATTCTACACACACAGACACACACGCACACATAAAAATGACGAGGGTCGATGAGTAAAAGGCTACGCAAGTTATTTAAAGAAAAATAATTTATTAATTTTATTGTAATATAATTTATTTGGAAACAAAACCATGCAAGTGTTTTTTAAACAAAAATTACTGAACCTCACATTATACCAAATTTTATGAATTATACCGAAAGTTTAATCAAATTTTTTTAATTATTTAGTTTGCCAACAATTTTTGGGATAAAATTTTTTTTAAACATTTTTATTAACCTAAGTTCGTCAAATGGTGATGTCTGCCCTTCAAAAAGTGAAGTTAGTATTAGGGCAAAGACTGAAACTTTCAACCGCTCTCCTGACAAAACTGTTGGGACCATATTTTCCAGATTGCGACTGACGCTATATTTTGATAGTCAAAAAGTGCACGTCTGTCGAAAAATGGTGTGTTTATTCAGAGAAATTATGGTTTATTCCATGGCGTGTTTAAAAGTAAGCACTAATTATGATGTCATTTTTTGAACCATTAAAATTGGGTATACTATAGCCTACGTCACAGGTTGTGTTATTCCTACTAAATTTAACTAGGAAACAGCATTTTCTGCGAACCTGATTTCTAGCAACAAGTAAACATTAAATGAAGTGTGTTGTTATAAGTCGCTACTCGGCAGGTTGGAATTNCATTATAAAGAAAAGTAATTGATATTCGATTTTTGATTAATAATTGATTTATGTGGATAGTGGCATTTATGTGGATAGTGGCATTTATGTGGATAGTGGCATAGAATTTAGCATTGCGTCATGGTAAATGTTATTCCTACTAAGTGGAAGTAGTTGTGTTTTTTTTTTATATTATGCCCAATTGGCATTTAGTTAGTTAAAATCTGATCATAATAGCAAAAGTTTTTCAGGGTAATATATTTTTTTATTTTACACATTGAAATTAAATTTTAGTATTCAAAATGACACGGTGAAAAATCTTGGCTGTCATAAGTGATGGAAAAAATTACATTAGTCGACGATAGTTAAGTTTCTTTAAAATTGCAAATAAAATTAAAATTGAAACTATTTGGTTTATAAAAAAGGAAAATGCCAATCTCTACATGTCCACATTGTGATTCAAATTGGTGAAATGAGCGAGTAAAGTTAAATGTAAGATAATGACTGATGAATGGATACGATATTATTGCTCAATATGCATTCACTTACAATACGCATTCAATGACAATATACATTCACTTTTTTTCTTCCTAATAATGCTTTAAAATTGCTGCACAGTAAGATGAATTTTATCTTGCTGAATTAAAAGAAATCAAATGAGAAAAAAAATTTAAATATCAGAGACATAAAGCAGCTATGTTTTTTCCCTTCATACTTAAAATACATCCGGGATCCATATTCACTATATGCATTATTTTATTTATCCTTGAATTTGTTTTTTTTTTTTCATCCTTTTTTAGCAATAAAGAACAATTTTAATTAATTATTTTTAATACATGTATTGCTTACAAATTTTAAGCTAAGTATTGTAAAGCTGACGTAATATTTTAGAATTTTGTTTTAAAAAGAAAATGACATAAGATTTTAATATTAAATATTTTGCTAAAAAGAATACTTTCGGGAGAAATAAAATTTAAAAAATGAGTCATCGTAATATAATTTTAAATTTTGTTAGCAACAATAGTTAATGAAAAACTTTGTTTTTTCTCATAAAAGCTGTATTTTATAAATACAGAAAATCAGCGGGAAAAAAAATTCTATATTGAATCTTATATTTAACTCTAGAAAGACTAAAACTTAGTATATTCCTATATTGCTCAAAAGCAGTCAAAATGACTTGATTGTAAAAAAATAAATAATGCGTAAAGAAATTTGTTTAAAATTAATTTTTAATATTTTTTATATTATGTACAGTTATATAACAAGTTATTAGTAAATATTAACAATAAAAAATTATATGTTGTACAAAATTCTAAGAAATTGTGTCATTATATACATCATTGTTTTTCTAATTGAAATTAAAATTAGTCAAAATGACTTCCTTAGGCAATCTAGTGTTAATTTTTAAATTACGATTCCCACTTTATGAAATTATGCAACAGTCCTAAAGCGCGTCACGTGAAACTAATATCGAATCTAAACCGATTTATTGGTTAAGGTCACGACATTCGTAATCAAGTCTTCCTAGAAGAAAAAGAAAAAAAGCATGACATCCCTGATTATGACTGGATGTTTTGTATGTTTCACTTCCTATCTCTAGTTAAATCAGCTGAAGTTCCGGAATTTTTAATTTCATTTTCGGCGGAAGCATCATTATGAGGATGCTTTTGGTGATTCTTCTGTCTCTGTTGTCCGCCTCTGTCAGTCAAAACAGTACGTAAAAATAATAACTTTCTATATGTTTAAGATAGCACTTCTAATCAAAAGTGAAACTTGTTATTGTTGGGGTTATCTCCATATTTTTTTTCTATTCTTTTTAGCCAGCTGCGCATTTATCATTAAGTTTAAGTAAAATAACTAACTATCTTAGTTACTAAGTAGTTGAACTAATTAGCTAAAAGCTGGGAATTATTTCAAAATTTTTTATATAAATACAATATGAAGTTTACAATATGAAGTCCCCTCAGGTGAGCTTGTAGTCGCCAACTCTTATTTGCTGAGGGGAAAGGAGTCAAAGTGGGGTGAAACTTAGGTATTACTATCTTGTTTAATGAGGTATTGTTACCGATGTACTTTTTGTACTGAATCGATTAAAATCAAGCGAAAGTCATTAGGACTAATTTATACATTTTTAAACTTAAACAGTACAAACAAAAACAGTACAGTTGTAAAAAAACAGTAATTTTTTTTTTATACTTACCTATTTACTCTTTTTACATTGTTATCCAGACAACTGATGTATTGTTTCTTACATATTGTTTTGAAATGAAACGTTTGTTTTACTTGTTTTTAAACTGAACAATTGTTTTAAAAATGAATTTAAGTCAATAAGACTAATTGTCTAAAAACTATGAAGGCTTTAATTTTTAAAAAGCACATTTTCTAACCTATGCATATGTACTTATATGCATAGGTTAGATATTGCTACCTGCATAGATAAAATATTGTTTACTGCGTATTTTGTACGCTGAATCGAGTAAGACAAAAAGTCGATTGGATTAATAGTTTATAAATTATTAAAGTTATAAAGGCTTTCTGTATGAAAATTACAATGTAGGATTTATACTTATTTACACGTCTGATATTGCTGTCTAGGCAAGTTAGGTATTGTTTTCAACTTAGTTTTTCACACTAAATCTAATAAAATCAAAATTAAGTCAATGGAACTAGACATTTTGAAGTTTTAAGGGTTTTATGTGTAAAAGGTGCAATTAATGTTTTTATAAAGCTTTCTAAACAATTAGCTTTGCCGACATGAGTTTGGTTTTGTTGAAATCGACGTAAAACATACATGTGAAACAATATCAACGAATGTCTTACATGTATGTCTGCAATTAATTTTCAAATGAGCTTAACCTTTATGCATATGATATGAAATAGTAGCCAGTGTTTAACATTTACAGCCGCTTGACAAATAAACTTGTCAGTTTTTTAATATAAAACCTAAAAACTGGTAACACAATTATTTTATTCGCAGTTTTATCTTGGAGGTATAAAACCTGTCAATCCAATGTGATATTTTACAGAGCTTTACATTTTAATCTATAATTGGGTTTTGGGTTTAATATTTGGGTTTTAATATTTGGGTTTTCTTATATAAATAGAAAATATATGCATATGTCACATCTAAAATAATAGCTAAATAGAATTAAAGGGATCTTAAACCGAAAACTAAATAGAATTATATTTTAATTGCAGATTAGTCCTTCCTTAACAGATGAGAACATTCAATAGTCTCTTTCACATAATGAAAGAATTCCTTCGCATATTGATTATTGTTAATTAGTTAGAAATGTAATCTTTATTTATAAAATGAATCCATCCTGCACTGTAAAACGTCTTCATGAAATCGAAATGTCGAGAAAACATGGAAAAAAATTACAGAATAATGAAAAAGAAGAAAATAATTTTAAAAAATAATAATAATAAAAATCCAGAAAAAAGATATAATCTCTTCATCAGCTCTCACGGTTATAACCGCAAAAAGGAGTGCTTTCTAATGTGGTATCAATATAGCCAAAGCAAAATATATCAATATAATAGTGTAAGGAACACTCAAAAAAAATTTTTTGAAACAAAATAGAATTACGTAAAACAGAATCTCGTAAAAAAACAGAAAATAAAATGCAAAGAAAAAAAAAAGGAACAAAACACAAAAGGAAATCTATAAAACGAGCAGCGAATTCAAATGAACTTACAAGAACGGGAAAATTTTTAAGAATCATTTACAATATTTTCGTAATAAGATTGTCAGATTACAAAATATAAAAACAGAAGCGCAATTTGAGGTAAAAGCGCAAATAGAGTGATTTGTTTATAGTGCGTTCTTACTGCAGTACTGAAGCGCGTTTGATTTGTTAGTTACCAAGGATTGGCCCGAAAATGGATGTGCGCAAAGTAATATGCTGGAAAATTTAAAGAAATTTATAATTAATAAGGTTAATATTTAATTATACAATTTCAATGATTTTAGAAAATTAATTTTTATTTGACAGGAGACACTAACTTTTATATTACTATGATGTGAAATATTTATCCTTTTCACAATATATATATATATATATATATATATTGTGAAAANTATACTATATATATATATTGCCGCTTAATTGAATTATTAATGAACTACCACTCTTTTTGAAAGAGCACTTTTTTTAGTTAATGTTCTACCGAAGAGAAAATCGAATCATTGATTTGCTATTAGTCACTAAAACTATTTTATACAGATGTGTTGGATTATTGCAATCGGTACAGCATTTTCGCTTCTTCTGATTTTACAGAGAATATTTATATTTCAAAATTTTTAAGAGCATTTTGTATCCTTCTAGAAATTGTTATTTTTCATTATGGAGAATTTGTATTAGACTCTAATTTACGATGGAAGTGAAACATTTAATGACTTAATAAAAAGAAAAGCTTTAAAAATATTTTTTTATTTTTATGTCATATAAGTAAAATAAATACGATTGCTTAAAATTTAAAACGGAAGGAAATCTTCATTTGAAGTCAGATATATGAGCATGTGTCTCGAACTTTTCATTTTGATGGTTCTGGCATATCAAAGTTAATACACAGATTTAAAAAAAAAAATAGTTCATTTCAATATAACTGAAATGAAACAATTTCGCTACTTAAAAACTTTAAAAAAATCCATTGCATTCGAGGTTCAAGCTTGTCCCTTACGCTATTTTCCAATCCAGCGGCCTTAAAGGATCCGCTCTTCTGTTTGACATTTTCTTAAATAAATAAAAAAAAACTTGATTCTTAACTTTTCTTAGTTCAGGTGACAAGTTTTAAAAGAAATAAAAGCTTGCGTTATAATTGTGTCTCACTACAGCTAAGAGGAAAATCTCCACAAAAAAAGAAGAAAAAAAGAGTGAATCATTAAAGCTCGCAAGATTGTTAATTAGCGCCTATGACAAACTCCTCGATGCCCTTGAAAATAGAAGTGTAACGCACTATATAAAAATAAATGCTAGAACGATTCACATTTATAAGACTTCTTATTCTTTGATTTGTTGCCCCCTTTGGCAAAATGCTAGAGCGTTCTCCCCTCCTTCACGCCACTCTATATGTTATATACTATATGTTACGTTATATACTTATAATGTTATATACTTATATGTATGTTATATACTTATGTTTTATACTATATACTACTCACACTATATGTTATATAACATATAGTGAGAAAACTTCTGTGTTATAACTGCTACTCCATTTTTGAGTTTTCATTGATTAAAATATTGATTTCTTTTCAAAATATTGATATATTATCTAAATATTTCATTGGTTAAAATATTAATGCATTAAAGAGAATTTGGGGAATCGGAATTAATTAGACTTATATAATCAAGTACGCCTTTCCAATTTTTTAAATAAAAGCAATCCTATTAATCAATAATATTTACCGTCTCGTGTTAAGTAGGGAAAGTTACAAAATTGATTCCGTTACTCTGCATAGTTCACCAGTTGGTGTTCGTGGGTAATATTAATAAAAAGCTTACGAAAATCTCTAAAAGGTACATCAATTGATTACAACTACAAAGTAATGAATGGTGAACTAACAAAAAATACTTATTTTTAACGTCGGAAATGAAGTTTCATGAAGATTTCATAAAGATTTTTTAATTTTTCTAAAAATCTATATATTATTTTCTTATATTTATATTTAAAAAAATTATAAATATTTCGNATAAAATACTATGTCTTTGATGATAATATACTATGTCTTTGTGCTAGAACATTGTGTTCACTGGCAAGCGAGCGCAGCGAGCCATGGTTCACGGCGTGAACCACATAGGATTGCGTAGCAATTCTCGGGGGTTGGCGAGCGTTAGCGAACAGGGGGCGGAGCCTCCTAGTATTGATATATTATCTAAATATTTCATTGGTTAAAATATTAATGCATTAAAAAGAATTTGAGGAATCAGAATTAATTAGACTTATATAATCAAGTACGCCTTTCCAATTTTTCAAATAAAAGCAGACCTATTAATCAATAATATTTACCGTCTCGTGTTAAGTAGTGAAAGTTACAAAATTGATTCCGTTACTCTGCATAGTTCAACAGTTGGTGTTCGTGGGTAACATTAATAAAAAGCTTACGAAAATCTTTTAAAGGTACATCAATTGATTACAACTACAAAGCAATGAATGGTGAACTAACAAAAAATACTTATTTTTAACGTCGAAAATGAAGTTTCATGAAGATTTCATAAAGATTTTTTTATTTTTCTAAAAATCTATATATTATTTTCTTATATTTATATTTAAAAAAATTATAAATATTTCGCAAACAAAGTAAGATTGTAAAAATCTCGTAAAATAAATTAATGATTTAAATAAAATTTAAAAAAATAACCTATAATAAAAATATAACCTTTTATCCTATCAAATGTCCCGTATCGATGTTCCCAGCGGAAATTCTCTTCTCCGCATTATATATAATTGCTTACAAGCAAGACTCAATGATTATTTGCTGTTTTCTATTATAGTTGATGAAGTACCAAGTGTGGAATTAACTGATTTAGAATCCCCTTTGAGCAATGAAACAACTGAACAAAATCCTGGGTCTGCAAATGAATATGATCAGGAATTTGCAACTCCAACGATTCAAGATACATCTGAAGTGGAAATAATAGAAAATTCAGGGGAAGTCTTTGAAGATGAACGTATGAACCAAACTAATTTTTTGCTTCATTGTTATCCTTAAAAAGATACAGCTCACATCGTTTACGCCCTAGATTTTTTGCGAATTTTATTTATTTATTTACTTGTTTTTTTTTATTTTATGTTATTTACAACTGATGCAGAAGTTTGGCCATTAAACTATGCTTAAATAATAATAAAAAAAATCCTTCAACACGAGCTATATTGGCACGATTAATCGATGAGCAAAGTCGACTAACATTAAAGTTAAGAAGAGCAGATTTTTGAATTCATAATACGAGATTAATTACGATTCACCATCTAAAAGCATTACACAAAGACATTTTCAGACTGATCTGAATCTTAAATTAATATACATTTATATTACGAGTGCTTATTAACTATATTATTAACAATTGCATAACAATAAATATCCGAAATCTCTAATTCACACTATCATGAGTGAGCCATTTTTTTCTTTTTTTGTAAATTTTTTATGTTCATATGTACGAAGTAATATATTGGTTTCTAATATTTTTAGTAAAAAGAGAAAACACGATAAAAAAAAATGTTTTTGAAGTCATTATACGAGACAATTACGATGCACCATCCAAAAACATTGCACAAAGACATTGTGAGAGTAATCTGAATCTTAATTTATCATACATTTATATTACTGATGCTTATTAAAAATACCATAGCAATAAATATCTCCAGTCTCTAATTCGCACGATCATGCATGAATGAGCCATTTTGTTTTGTAATTTTCTTGTGTTCAGATGTACGAAGTAATATATTAAATTTTTATTTTTCATGAAAGATAAGACACGATAAAATAATAACGTAAAGTCATAATACGAGACAATCACGATGCACCACTTAAGATTTTTTGATTCGATTTGATTTGAAATTCTCTTATAGTAAAGTAGGCAAAGTCCTGATAAGAGAAAATGTTTATTTATTCAAATAAATTTCTTTTCTTCTGGACAGGCTCAGATGGCACTTGTGGAAGTCCAATTGTTATAAGCAATACCCTTGTAGACGGAAAGAAGAACACTGAATATGAAGTAGGGACGGAATTAACGTATTCCTGCGAATTTGGATACGCAACAGATGGTGCAAACCACATTTCTCGTTGTGTTGTACTTAGAGAAGGTGATAAACCAACATGGACGGATCCAGATATCATGTGCATTCGTATGTTTTTTATTGCCTTTTCATCTATTTTGTGCCACTTATACTAATAACCCCAATAATTTCCTCATGTAAAATTTATTAAGATCCTTGGCCAGGCGGATGGACTGGCCAAGGAGGGCTGTTACCACGCTAATCCTTCGTCTTCAGCACTTACCCTTTTAGAACATCAATCCATAACTAATTCTGAAATTTCGAAGGGGTGGAAGATTCCTCCCACAGCCATCACTGGCATGCGGGCAAAGAACCAGGTTCTTCATTAGCCCTCAATTGTGACAGAGCTTCTAAAACCGCAATTTCCAGATTAGTAAGCGGTCACATACAAAGTCTCTCGTTTTTCGAAGGCAAGAGAATCTTCGAAATCTGCTCCAAATGTCAAACTGAACAGGCTTCTCCCGAACACATCCTGGACTGTTTGGGACTTTCCAGGGACTGTTTTCCTTTCTGGTCCTCGATTTTCTTAGGGTCAACGGTCTGATGAACCTTGTCTAACTTCGTCAAGCATTTGGATTGGAGGATAAGCTACAACAACAACAACAACATAGATTCCTAAAGGACTATACGAGAATTTATCATCTGTAAAGCAACTAATTTATTTTGTGCCACGCATCCACATTAAATCGGTAGTTTTTCTGCCTTTAATATTAAATGATCTTAAAATTTTATATGGGGGATAGTCATATCTTTCCCAGGGTACGCAATTGTGTACTATTGCATGGTTGTGTCCAATCACGTGGTTGTTCTTGGCGTGTCAACGATACAGCATTAAGTCTTAGGTTCATTACCACCCTAAATAAATGTTCGGATAAGATTTATTTGCATACTTGCAAGCGACGTCACGCATGTGTGCCAATCCTCATTTGCTGATCCACGCGTGCAAGTATCTAGTTGCGAAAACTTTAGACCCTATTCTTTGTTTTTTACAAAGGTCATTAATTGAAGATAGTTTTGTCTTAACAAGAATTTCACAGATTCATACTTCACTTGTAAGTTTTCTGGATTGTTGATTTATTGCCTCTAGTTTGAAGCACATTTTGGTTTTGTCGGGAAGGTGGGGATGGGAGAGGGAAATGAAGCATAGGGTAGATAGAATTGGAACACTACCGTTCTTCTGAGTGACTGTTCACTGCTTCTTTCATGGCGATAGCGATAAAAGTAGCCTAAATTTATTTCTTATTTGAAGTAAAAATTGACCGCAATTTTGTTTAATTGGGTAAAAGTTCGGGAACCTGATAGAAAAAAAAATGTCTAAATACTGGTTGCATTTTTGGCTGTCGCCATTTTTTAGATTGTTCTCTATCAGCAGTCCACAAAACTAAACAGAGCTCTTCTCTTCGAAAATATAGAAACGTTACAGCCAAATGTTTTTTTCAGGAGGCTTAGCAATTGGTAATCTAAAAGCTTTAAATGAGGATGATATAGCACCTGATATTTTTGATAATATTCCACCTGAAACTTTAAAGATATTTACGAGTTTGTTTGGCCGAATGACTAGTAGTAGTTTTACTTTTCATCTGTTTAAGTCAGAAAGCCATCCTTGATCTAATCCCCGGATGGGATGACGTCGAAGCACACTATCACTCATTAATTTATATGCACCTTCATTTTTTTCTCACTTTTGCATTAAAAACATACAAAATGTGGAAGCACAATGTCCAGGTGGTTTTTGGCAGTAAAGCTGTTTCCATTCATTTCTGTATCAAACTTTGGCCATTAAAAGAAGTCAAAGTATCATTTGAATATGTTAACACAAAACAGAATTTTTTTAAACAATATATGTTTCTTTTGATCACTACACTATGTAATGTAAAATGTAAATGAGATCATAATATGGTTTGGCCATCCCAGAAACTAGATAGCCATCCTATTAGATCACTCTGAAATCATTTGGACAGGTGCTTTAGAATATTACAAGCCAAAATTATCTATGGAAAATGATGTATTACAATTGAAATAGCATTTGATCTGAAATTTTGAATTAACTAACCAACGAAATGCTCCTAGTATAGTGGCGTGATCGCTTTCAAAGTATGTTTACTAATAAGAAGGAAAGATTTTGGACAAATCGTGTCTGCTAAACTTCATAAGGAAATAAATGCATTCACACCTAAGTTTATTACTTTATGCACCTTTCGAAAAAAACTAAAGCAATAAGTGCATTGAAATTGATGAGCAGTATTAGCCGCCATGCTCTTTTTAACTTTTGATTCTTAGAACACATTAAAATATCAATTAGTTACAAAAGAAATCTCCGTTTTAGTAACCCTATTTTTCCTTATTTTTTTCACTTAGCTTTGCATTTTCTAAAAAAAAAAAAATTCCTCAAGATATCATTTATCATAAGTGATATTAAATTTTGGTTTTGTATTTAGCTAGATCTTGTGGAGATCCTGGATTCGTGTTGAATGCACATCGCATCGGTTCTCGATTCACTTTTCCCAACCAAGTGTCTTTCGAATGCGATGACGGTTATGAGTTGATGGGATCTGGAATTAGGTATTGTCAAGTGAGTGGAAGGTGGAGTGGATCTCTGCCATCCTGTAAAAGTAAGAAAACTTAAATATTGAGACATCATTTGAAGAGTATCATGTCTCAGTTTTGTTTATCTTATCATGCAGTGTCCCACTAGATAAATACTGGAATATAATACATGATCATCTAAAAAAAGCGAGATTTTGTTACCTCATAAAAAAATTTATTTTCACAACAGTTCCCGAAAATTGTTCTATAAAAGGGATATATATATATATATATATATAATGGNTACAAAGAGGACAAGAAGAAAAACGGGGAAAATTAAGAAAATCAATAAGTTTTAATTACTGCGAATAAATATCGAACTCGTAAAATAAGCTCAAAATGTAGAGAAAACATGAAAAAAAAAACTACAGAGCAATGGGAAAAGATAGCAAAATTATTTTAAAAAAAATTAAAATCCAGAAAAAGAGATATAATATCTTCATTATCTCAGACTGTAATATCCGCAAAAAATAGTGCTTTGTAATATATTGTATCGATGTAGCCAGAGCAAAATATATCAATACAATAGTGTGAGGAGCACTAAAAAAAATTCCAAATTTTTATTAATTTTTCTTTAATATTTTTTTTTCATTGTTCTGTAGTTTTTTCCATGTTTTCTCTACATTTTTCACATTAAATATTTTCAAAATAACAGGTAGTCTTTTTTTTTTGTTAATATTTTTACATTTGCTAATGATTTTTACTTATGAAATCGGGATTTCGCTGAAGGAAAAGCGATTATTTAGCGTTCCATACGAAGAAAAAACATTGGGAATAGTTGGCGTAAGATGGCAGAAGTTTTCCCAGTGTCCTCGCGAGATTTTCCGGTGAGTGTTAAATTTAATTAAGACAAAATTCTACTACCTTTACCCTTCGACTTCTGATTCAAAGCCTGCAATCGTTTTTCACGATTTCAACCCTCTAAACATGCCCTAGCAATAATTTTTATCTTGGCCCAAGTTGTGCTTAAAATTGACTCAAAATGAGTAAGATAAGAGCACGCAACGAGGGATTAATATTGAGATGTCTAGATTTTTTATTATTGGTTCCAGGATGGCCTATATTGGCGGAATAAAGAATATGAAATATCGGGTGAATCTGACAATTCTATATAGGTTGGTTGTAAAGTATCTGTAAAATATCAGATGAATCGGATAATTCTATATATTGCCAATATCGAGAAAATAACAGCCTTTTGAACCTTTATTGAGCCAAGATTCTTGAATTTGCGATCGCAACGCTCGAATACGCCATCTGGGGAGAAGACCGATTCCATGCTTTTGGCCCTATCCCTTTCCGTCTCCTCCTCTTTTCAGTTGTATAGGAATGTACTACGATATTTTCCCCCTTCTTAATATTTTTCTTACTTAATTGTCCCAAATATTTCTTAAAATTTTTAAAACGCTTTCTTTTAGAGCTATATTCTATGTAGTTTTCAGTTCCGTATAGTTTCCTAACTTAAAAGTTTTTAATATTTTCGAAAAATCAAGAAACAGAAACTGACGTACTTCCTTCTCCTATGACTCTCCCCATGCTAATGGTGAAAGTATGCGAAGTGTTGCCATAGGTAAAGAGTTCTGCTCTACGCCACCTATAGCCCATTTCGATAGCCAATATTCGTCCAAAGAGGGCCCCAAGTTTTTTTGCTGCTAGGGTGGTTTCCAATCCCATGTTGTTCCATGTTAAGTTTTCAACCTCTTAATGCCTTTTATCACCCTCATGGAATTCTCGACTATATTTTAAAACATTCTGTATAATCTAAAAATAAAAAGCAATTAGAAGTATTTAAAATGAGGATTTTCTTAGAAAATATATTCAGACGATAATTTTGTGTTAACAAAGCAGTAAGCTAATGTTCTAGAACAGCGTTATGAAATTATTTTCTGGTGAATTTTTTTTAATGAAATAATGTGCGTAAGAAGAAAATAATTTGTCGTTTTATTGTCTCACTCATTTAAAAGGCTAACATTACAGTTAATTTTTGTTGGAAATTGGAAGACCGGTAGCATTCTTAAAATTTATCCTCCTGGAAGAAGATAAATTTCAAGAATGGTGTTCACCACAATATATTAATATTTTAATTTTAATCTTTAATTATATGAAAACTCAAGAGAATATAAGAAACTTCATTTATGTTTTAATCCGAAATTGTATGTAAACTCAAGTGGTCTTGACACTAGAAAATATCAAATCTGTAGAAACCAAACTGCTCTTAAACTTTTTTTTCATAAAAGTACTATTTATATCACAACAAAATATTAGGTTTAAAGCTTACAATGAACTGCGTAACTTTACTGCAATCATTAGGTAACTCATGTAAGTAAATAAATATTATATTCATGAAAAGAAATAAGCTCATTTAATCAAGCATGAAGGTTGTAGAAAGGCATTCTTATAGTTCTGTGAGTCTATATGGGTAGAAACGCAAAATCAAAGTAACTAAAAAGTTATTAAAATGGATTGGTGTTGTACAATGTTTGAAAATTTCTGCACAACTTGTATTATTTCCATTTATTTGAATAAATGCAATGATATAATAAAAAGAAATATTATGCTGTAGTATTTTGTTTGCATAATTAATATATACTTCTATTCATACAATAATTCATATAATACTTCTATTAAATGATCTCAATAGATCTGATTATCTTTCCAGAGATATTTTGCGAACAACCCTTTCATCCTGAAAACGGGAGAGTATTCTTTACCTCTCTGGAATACGGATCTCAGTTGAAATATGAATGCGAGACAGGATTCATTCTTAAGAACTATCAGACAAGAACTTGTTCGGAAAATGGCACATGGACCGGACCTGAACCATTATGCCTAGGTAATTACGATAATATCTGTTGTCACTTTTTCAAAAAGAGAGATTAAACTGAGGTGCTCAGAGCAATAATAGATTCGAGTTTTGAGACATTAAACACAAGGACCTCTGTAATTATTACCCTTAATGTGCATTTCTAAAATCCTTGCTAAAAATGGAAGAGAAAATTATCACCATTTGTAGGACTAAAACAATAAAACATACCTGATTGCCGGGAAAATAAAGATGAGTTGAAAGGTAATAATTTGAAATGCCTCAAGAAAAATTTCATTCCAGCTTTTCCAGTTATTCAACAAATCTCTACAAAAGTTTTTTTTCTTGAATTAAAGTTTGCCACTTATTGTAACTAAATTGTTTGAGCTAATATTTCACAAAGATTCTAAAAATATATATTTTTTTAATATGATGATTATGAAAGACCTTGAAGTGTCATCATTTACATTTCCGATGCTACAGTATCAACAAAATTGAGATTTGTAAATCTTCTTACACTTCATAAAAGTAAACGATGTTATTATACTTCTCAATAGTAACTATGGTTAGAATCCGTCATTATTCTTCCAAACTTTGCAAACATTATATTGCCAGTAACACATTAGAAAAGAGCAATGAGCCCAAGTAGCACAAAGTTTAAAGCTATATCAATACTACAAACAAGTATCATCATCAGTGATTGCAAAGGCAAGGAAGAAAAAAAAAACTACAGAATTGCCAACTCAACTGATTCCGCAATGTTCCTGTCCTGTCTATAAAATTTTATACTTCAAACTATACGCTATATAAGCTCAACGGGATAACTTCGTGACAATGCGTGATAACTTTAGTAACTTGATTTTCGTTTCTGTAGCAGAGCAATTTTACTAAAATCAAAGTCAAAGAAGATGGTAATGAAAAATACCATATATAATCTGTCTAAGCTAAGAACTCCTCCAGCCACAAAGTCTGAGGCCGTCTGGTACTATGGAAACAAGAATGGCACATTTTAGGGAGGGTAGCTTCACTCAAGGACTAACGCATCAGACAAGAAATTGATTCTCTTTCTCCCGCCGACTGGAGCCGAAATCACTCCAAAACAGAGACCCTGCACCCCTACTTAAAACAGTCATAATTCGTTACCATAGTCACCGCCACAGGTCCAGACGAATGTCTGGAGGAGTTCTTATTTTAGACAAACTATACATACATCGTATTCTCGTTGTCTTGTATAATAACTTGTATTCTAATTTTATAGATGCTCAGTGTGAGATGCCAAGTGCGCCAAAGCATGGTTTCGTTGAACTGTTGGGTGGAAATCCTAGAGTTGGAAGTATCGCCATTTACAAGTGTGAAGATGAGAGAATACTAGTGGGCTCAACCACATCTAAGTGCCTTGAGATCGGTGAATGGACTTTTCCTACACCAAAATGTGTGGGTAAATAGATTTTACTATGATTGGCACTTTTTAATGTCACACATTTCAGATTTAAGACTTTACATATTTTGATCGAAGCAAAAGTCACATTATAATAGTGATTAAAATAGGAAATTTAATTCCTCTTCTTTTTGTACATTGGATACATAGTATAACTGTATATTTAAGGTTTTGTTTTTTTATTTGTCTTATGATAGGTTCCATTTAAGCTATTTGAAATAATTCTATTTTAAGATTTTTACATTTAGGTAATTATTTTTGGACTTACGAGTCTTATAATTGCGGGAAATTTTTTTTATTTACTTATACTATTTGAGATATGGCGAAATGTAAACAGAATGAAATTAAGAGTTCAAACATCAGACAGTTTTCCTCATGTACTAATTAATTATCGTATGCAAAATGCGATCATTATAGCCACAAGTATTCCCATTTTCCCATTTATTTCCACACTGTTTTTTTTTAAATAGTATTAAGAATTCTAAAAATAAAAAGTAAAATTTTTTTGTGTTTACAGAGCCATGTATAGTGCCGGATGTGCAACATGGAAAAATTGGAAGATATGCTACAAAAAGATGGAATAGACAGAAAGTATACACTGAGGTAAAACAAGGAAATAATTTCCCCATAATTTACGTTATGTATTTACATTCAATGTAATATTAATGTTAAGTTTTTAGAACATATCAGCTTAAAACTTAGTATGGAATATACTCAAAGGGCAAAAATTACGTATCTTATTGCAATCATATAGCATACACTTTTTTGCTTGCCTATAAATATGCTTTTAATCTCTAACTACTTTATAAACTAACAATTGTATAATTGGATTAGTAAGATTATTAAAAACAACAATATATATTTTAATCACGCCAGCCAGGTGGCCGAGCGGTTAGCGCGCCTGATTGCGAAGCCAATGGCCGCGGGTTCGAATCCCGCTCTGGGCATGGATGTTTCTCTCTCTTGTGTTGTCCTCTGTTGTGTGTGATGAGTGAATGTGGCCCATCCTGTGAACGGGTTTGTGTGTTTCTTAACGACCGCTTTTAACTAATATTTTTAGAATCCTTGAAAAAAATTTAGTCGAAATATTCTCATTGAGAGTCACAAATTAATATTAAAATCAAAGAGAGGAAAAAACACCANGAACGGGTTTGTGGCAGTGTGGCGTGGGCAATGTTACTCGCCTCCTTGACTTTGGTTCACAGATGTCCACTGGGTAACGCGAAATGAGTAACAACTCAGGCATCTTCTAAGGTGAAACGAATAAAGTTCAGTGCCTGTCATTCGAAAAAAAAACATTTTAATCACGTTAATATTTATCCTGTTCTCAAGTTATATTGGGTGCTTCTTAACGACCGCTTTTAACTAATATTTTTAGAATCCTTGAAAAAAATTTAGTCGAAATATTCTCATTGAGAGTCACAAATTAATATTAAAATCAAAGAGAGGAAAAAACACCATCGAAATTTAACGCTTCTCTACAGATAAATGCGGGATTCAAACCTGTTTAATTGCTTGAAGTATATAATAATCACCTTTCAATTCCTCTTTATCCACTTTGGTTTTGATGTTTTAAATCCAGAATTCCTCATTAGTAATTAGCTAGATTTTAATAGCGTGTTTATTTTGCGCTCAATGGGATACCTGCAAGTGACGTAGTGTGGATAACTCGATCATGATTGGTTGTTGAAACGTTAGCAACTGTTCTTTCCATTCTATTTCAAATAAGCCAAGCCCGTCAAGTATAAATTCTCGTAAGTGACATAATCTATATTCTTTCACAAAGATTTTTTTTAAACGATTTCAATTCTTTCATCATTTATTTCTTACTTAACACAAAGACAGACATGAATCCATGTAGAACATAAACAAGCTAATTACGCTTCGAAGTTGCCAGGTACACAAAACAAAGATATATCACAGTTACAATAAAATGCATAATCAAATAATAAATCTAAGCTAAGTAAAATACTTTGGCGAGAAATAATTATATTTCAGCAAATTCGACGTGTGATACGGCACTGTATTTATCTAATTTCACTTTATTTAGCATTCTAATTTATGTGGAGAAACTTAGCTCAACTTTAAGACTCCGTGACTACGAATTTTGTTTGATCAACCTTTCAACAACTGATGGCCCCTCAGACTGCTGATTTATCTAAGTCATGTTGCAGAGTCATCACACACTCACTGTTACAAAATATTCAAATTCAACCAAATGCGTGTCAAATACACTGGTGGACAAAATTAAGACATCAGAATTGGACACAGCTTCAGTGGGCTAATGTTCTCTTCACCGATGAGTCCAGATTCTGTCTACAACCTGATTCTGGACGGTTATTGATACGGAGGGAGCCTGGAACCCGATACCATCCCAGCAACATTATCGAAAGGGACCATTATGCTGGTGGAGGGCTCATGGTTTGGGCCGGGATCATGCAAGATACCCGCACACCGTTCCATGTGTTTGACAATGGTTCCGTGAATGCTTAGAGGTACAGGTAGGAGATCCTAGAGCCCTGTGTGCGTCTTTTCAGGGGTGCTGTTGGCCTGAGTTCATTTCTATGAACGACAATGCGCGACCACATAGTGCTCTCATGGTTGATGAGTATCTGGAAAGCGAGGATATTCAACGAATGGATTGGACAGACAAATCCCCTGACTTGAATCTTATTGAACATGCTTGGAATGCTCTTGGGAGAGCTATTGCGATGCGCCAACCTCCTCCCAGAACCATTCTGGAGTTAAAAATTGCTCTGGTGGAAGAATGGAAGGCTCTTCCACAAGTCCTCCTTAACTCCCTTATTAACTTATTAACAGCATACATACTCGTTGTGCGTGCTGTCTGTCTGTCAGGAGTGACCATACACCATACTAGAGGCAACACACACTGTACAAGCCTCACTTTTACTGTCATCTTTTTATTTTTAAGTTCAGACTACATTGGATTTATTGTCAATAGGTCTTGCCAGTGAATGGCACTTTCATTTTTGTTTTGCATACTTTATTATCATGGAATGAGCTATATCCATGCCAAATTTCATTTATTTATATTCAGTATTTTTTGAGATATTTGGGAAAATGTCTTCAATCTCTTAATTTTGTCCACCAGTGTAGTTTTTTTTTATCTGCACTCTCAGAATAAATGCTGCTGGTCATTTTTCACCCCCTATTTAAACGCATAATTTTCAACATCGCTGACAAAATTCGCATATTCCTAGTCTCGTAAAAGTTAAAATTTTCATTTTCAATCTCATATTTTTAATTTGTTTTAATGCTGTCTAATATAGGATTGTGTTACACCGAATTCACAATATTTAACTAATTGTTTCGAGCAGAGTAATTTTAATCTTGCTTCACGGAGTCTTGCCTTTCAAATGAGTGTTTCTTCTTCTGAAAAGCCGTTGGTGTTGAGACTGACATTTTATCTATCAATTTATTCAAACAATTATCATAACACGAGTAAATATTTAAAATTAGATTGCAACCGACCATGAAGGTAGTCTTAACATTTTATTGGAAAATCTCTTTATGAAATTCTTATAAAGCCGTTATTCTTTTTCAGCTGCCAGTAGGAACATCTTTCAAAGATGGCGAGGAACTGTATTTAAAGTGTGACAATCAGTATGAACCGTTGGGAAGGAATAAGCAAGAAGAGAAGGTAATCTGCGAAAAAGGACAATGGCTTGAAACACCCACTTGCGAACCAGGTACCATTAAGATTTTTAAAAAATTTTCCAAAATTCAGACCATTTATTTATGCGTATATTGTAGGCTAATTTTATTTTATTTTAAAATCGGCGTTGTAAAGCCAACCCATTTCTGCGTTTAAGAGTAGTAATGTTCAAATGCGAAGCCTTGTAATTTTGAACACAACCTAGAAGACAAGGGAATTCCTAACTCAAGCACTGGAACAAACTAGCCTTCGTGGCGAACTTTTTTTGATGGAACTAACATGCATTTGCGTTACATGGAGTGGAGGACCATGAAAACCACAGTTAGACCGAAAGCGAAGGGATTCTAACTCAACCGAGGATATATAGCTCTGGAACTCCTCAATATAGTTCCTTGATTTAAATAAGAAGTTAAGAACAAGTATCGTTAGTGCTGTTTAGTTTTTTTTCTTCCAATTTGATCACGATAGCTCATAGTTTAGTATTAATGTAGATTCATTTAACTTCAATATATGATTTAAACCAATATTAAAAATAAATTGAAATAGGCTACAGCTTTACTTTATTATTTCTAGCAAAATGCCGATCGCAACCTCCAGATATGCAAAACGGCAAAGCAGCAAATATCAACAGGGAGCATACTGGTTACGTTGTTTACTATTGTGCAAACAATTTCAAGAAAACGAAGTATGGAAATGTCACTTGCCGTTTTGGAACTTGGGAAGGAATTCCGCCTACATGCACTGACAGTAAGACAATTCTAGTTCATTTTTGCCATTAAAATATAATTGAAGTGATTTAAATCGAAAAACTTAATATTTTTGCTCCTAATTTGATGAAGGGTTCCTCCATTTAACTATGAAATATGACACTTTTACATCTCATATCCCAGTTCGGGAATAAATATTTTGCTCAAGACATGTAGAGAACTGATATTTTTATGTTGTAACTGCGCTTGTTCAGAACATACGTAAAGGAAACTGCGTGGAGGTGATAAATCTCTTAAATAATTGGGCTGAATGTAATTGAATATAATAAAAATATTGAATAAAATAAAATAATAGGAATAAAAAAAAATATTGAAAAAGTAAACATTGAATTGGCAGAGGGTCTCATGCTTCTTATAATTTTACAAAAACACATGAGCTTTTAATATTTTTCTTAGAAAAACTTCTCCTAAGAATGAATATTTATTGACATTTTTTTTAAATATAAACTTAAAACTAAATATTCTTTTGAAAAAGCTTTTTTCGCACATTTTTATTTACTAATTAAAGATAAGATTTAATACTATAAAGTCTAAAAATATTTAAAAAATAAATGGCTAGCAAAAGCATGAATAAAATAAACTAAACACATAAAGAGATAAACAATAAAATAAAAGCAGACGATAAAATTAGAAGACCTTTTTAGAACAACAAAGTTGTTGGTTTTTTTAGAGATTAGTTTTGTTTTGGAATTTGAGTTTTCTTATAACCGGTTACGGGTTTTTCTGGTTTGTTTTATGATATTTTAACTATCCCGTTACGGTTACTTCATAGTTTTTACTGTTAGTGAATAAAAGTTTTTTTATAAGAAACAGAACTGTTATGTAGCTTGATACGTTACAATACGTATATTTTTTACATCTTTTAAACTAAAGCCACAAGAACTAAAGCCGCAAGATTCCGATCACGAAAACACAGTGTTGAGAAAATTATATAACTGAATTATGAATAGATATTCAATACAAGAAATGTATATCAAGCTAGATATTAGACTGATATGAATTTTATAATAGGTTGAATGTTTACTGCTACTGAAAATCGCTTTTATTATATAAAACTTAAAAGTTTTCGCTATTACTCGAAACTGAAGAAAAAAAGTAATACAATTATTTATGTATTTTTTCATTTCAGGGCGTTGTTATGTGGATAAACTCCAATTTCCAGGACTCGTGAAAGGAAGAAAAAATATATATAAGCACAGAGAGGTATTCAGATTTGAGTGCGAAAAGGGATACGATGTCACGGAGTCAGAAAAGAAGCTTGTATGTAATGAAGGCACATGGAAGGGAAACTTACCTCCTTGTAAAGCAGGTATTTTTAACCATCGTTTAATGATAGGAAAAAAAGTTTTTGAATCGCATGTTATATTATACACTTTATGATAGGAAACTTTCGCCCGGTGGTAGAGTGGTAGCGTTTCGCGCTGTCGTGCTATAGATCCTTGGTTCGATCCTCGGACCAAGCAAGGTTGACTCAGCCTTTCATCCCTTCAGTGGGTCGATTACATGAGTACCAGGCATGCTTGGGAACTAAACACTGGGGGTTCCGAGTTGGGCTGACCACCAAACAGGAACATCTGCCCCTGCACTTGAGAGCCCAAAGGTCAAGAAAACTGAGATGGGCGCAGTAGTTGCCATAAACCTAAGGTGTCATGCTATATAAATGCCATACAGATCTCTATGGTTACCATAGGCCTATGGTATACTGGCATACAAATTTTTGTGGTTGCCGTAGGCCTATAGTATCCTGCCATACAAATTTCTATGGTTGCCATAGGCTTATGGCGTTGTACCTAAATGCCATACAGATCTCTATGGTTACCATAGGCCTACGGTATCCTGCCATGCAAATTTCTATGGTTGCCATAGGCTTATGGCGTTGTGCCATATAATTGCCACACGGATCTTTATGGTTACCATAGGCGTATGGTATCTTGTCATACAAATTTCTATGATAACCATAGGTTTCTCTGTGGCAAATTTTCCTAAGGGATGTTTGCTTGGTATTTCCTACACTGATGTTTTATTTTAAGGTTAAATGCCACTGACCGGTATACACTTCAGCTTTATTCCTTTAACTGAAGCACTATTGTAAATTTGAACGGTCGTCATAACTTTCTTCCAATTCTTAACAACGAATTTTTTAAGTATTATTCGAAAACGTTCAGTAGTGAAATTCTAATCTCGTTACTCCACAAAATAATCAAAATATTTTACATTCCCAAAAAAGTCGGGGATTATATGAATAAACCTGTAAATTTATAGATATTCAATAATTCATCACATTTACCAAGTTCAGTGAATCATCATTGGTCGCACTTCATAAGAAAATTCGAACGTTTTTTCTGTCTTTCGGTTGAAACTATGTGAGTCTGTGCCAACAAAATATACTTTTAATTCATATATCAAAATCAAAATGGTCAACCACGTACCATTTTTCTAAGAAAAAAGTCTCTAAGCTTCTACTGAGTTCTTGGAAATAATTATAGAGCCTTGAAACTTCATGAACGAATATAAAGTTTTTGAAGCCAAAAAAATGTGTTTTAATCACTAAGACTGTCCAGTTTGCCGCCAAATCGGTAAAGATCCGACCGTTATGAGAGCGTCTTTCCTTTGTGACTTGTTATTTTGGGCAGTTAAAACAAGTAAAGTCGCCAAGCTCAAACTTAGAATTTCGGGAAAATGGTGCGTGGTAAGCAAAAAATAATTATAGATTCGTAATGTTTAGCCAAAAATATATGAAAAACCCACATTATCATCTCAATGACGTTTTGCCCGCTGTACTACGATAATTACACGCAATCAACCAGTTTTTTTAGATTTACCTTAATACATATTTATTTTATCTTTCTTTTACAGCAAGCTGCGTAACCTCTCCACCTTCCATAAAAAATGGAAGAATTAAATCTTATTCTGAGCTTCACAGCAGTTTTGTGAGTTATGAATGTGAGGAAGACTATTTCTTGCAGTCGTCATCAAATGTCCAATGCTTGTTTGGAGAGTGGAAAGGAAATCCACCGTTATGTAAAGACGGTGAGTATTCAAACAATTGGTTTGTTAGACATTTTACACTATAATAGTAACGAAACAGCACTTTTAATTTTTAATCTTTAATTTAGAATAATAATCGAAATAAAAAAAAGTAATAAATAGCAAGGAATATCATTTAGAACGGCTGGGAAAAGAATGTTATACAAAGGGGAAGGTTGCTATCGTTGGGCCAGCTCCTTTGTTTGACCATCTCCATCATTTTTTAGTTAGTGCCAGAAGGTGCTATCTATTGCCTGTTTGGTGTTCTTTACGAAGTTTGAAAAATGAAATAAGTACAGGGTTATTTATGATTAAAAACGAAGACGAATATGGCAAAAAAGAACATATGAAATTATTCCGAAAGTATTTAAGTTTTAATTTTAGCAGTTGCAGGTAAATGGCAGTAACATGTACCACTGAAGCCAGTTGTAGCAAAGAAAAATGGCGTTTACAGGCGGAGGAAATTATGAATAACCCTATATAAGTTAATTCACCTATAAAAAAAAGTTCTTTTACAAAAAGATATAAATATTGGACTTTTATTTTTTTTTTCAGTTTTAATAAATTATGGATATCAGCGAGACGTTAGTAGCATTTTAAATGTTACTGATAATATCTATAGCCTTATTTAATCAATTTTATTTAATCTTATTAATAATAAATGTAGTAACAGAATTTACAAACGTACTACATATCGACTGTCAGTTTTTTTTCCTCATTGAGTAAGTCCGATTTGCTATAAATCAGGGGTTTCCAACTTACATGAGGCCGGGCATCGCAATTAAAAACACCAGTCAAATAGCGGGCCGCAACGTTATCGAAATTTTATATAGGACTCTTTTATATTTGAAAAAACATTAAATATTACTGTCAGATTTTTATCAAGTTGTACAAAACAAAAGTATTGAATTACAAACTAAAATAAGAAGTGGATTTTTACCTGATTTTTTTACTCCTAAATCTGAAACATAGGACACATCATCACAATCCCCACTGGAAATTCCCCTCGACGTCGTCCAAAAGTGATGTTCCCTACGCATACTGACAAAAATATAATTATTTCCTCCTTTTAATCTACTCGTAAAACGTAGTTTTTAAATTGCAACCCTGCTGCATTTTGCAAGAGATTCTCAATTTCAGACTTCATTTTCCGCCCTCTATAATAGAATCGAAAAATCTCTCGAATTTTTGCTGATTATGGGGACCAACTAAACATTGTCAATTTTTTTCTCTCTATTAGCGATAGAAAATTTAATTTCTCTTGGCAATTTCATCGTTTGTGCCGCTCCATCGTCTTCGTCACAGTAAATAAAACTATCGATTGTCACAAACGTGCCAGCCCTGTCTGATTATGATATTTTTCAAAGTGCTTGAAAATATTTTTTGAGTGCTTGAAAAGTTCTTATTTTTTGTTGAAAAATTTGGCTACGCACCCTGGATAAGTTATAATAAACAATATTTTCTTTCAGCTCGCTGTTATTTTCAGAATCTAAAGTTTAAAAATGGGATGACGGTCCCTTTCAAAGATCCTGTTCTCAACGGAGAAGTTATAGAAGTAAAATGTGCTGCAGGTTATTCTGTTACTTTAAGCGTTAAACCCCCCTGGTGTTCGAACGGACTATGGACTGAATATGGAACATCACCCTGCAAACCGAGTAAAAATATTATATAAGTATTTTTTCATTACATCCTTTATAAATATTAGTGTTAAATTTAAAAGAGAGTTTGGCAAATCCAGATAGTTGGATAAACCGGGATCCAGCCTCATGAACTACACATTCCTCCGAAGCTTCGCCTGGTACCTTAGGTCACGAGGACCCCTATCCCATTAGTGGCTCTGCGACGGTAACTCCTCTGACGAAACCACAACCAGAGGAACGAGCGTGGACGTAACCAGCCCTGCTTTTTACGACTGCAGGCCCGCCCACCTCACTTGTGTCGGGGAAACGTCAACTCGACCTTGCGTTTCGACCTGGTTTCTACCTTCGTTTTCTAGGGAACTCCTAGTTAGTGAGGGTGGTTTTTCGAGTCCAAAATTGGCCCCACCGTTCTGATGAGCAGTGCAAAGTTTTTTAACGACTGACTTCTATGCTCAACGGACTAACGTCGGGGACGACTTTAACGCGCCAACGCTGTGCTAGGCGTCGCCTTCATTTGACCAACAAGCGGTTGGCCGGGAAATTTCTCGCCCCTTCGAGAGCGTTCTTATGAACGCTTCTACGAAGAGCCTTTCCCTTTCGGCAATCGTTGGGTTCGAAAGGATGTCCAACGACTGTCTTAGCCCTTGAGCGGAGCCACTTGCATGGATGTCTCGCTCGACGACATGAGACCGTTCCTTATCTGAGTTCCGAACCACATTATGATTCGAAACTCTCGGAAACGTCGCTGTGACTCTTCAAAGAGTACTCCGTTTTTTGCTACCTTCGACTCCAGGTTGGAGCTTCCGGCACCCATCGGACGGGACGAGGACCCAAACGGATACGTCCGATCATGAACTACACAGTAAAATATTTTAGTGCATCTTAACACCAAAGAGTTAGTGAAACACTTATCATGTTCTTTTATACTATTTGTTGTAAAGTAGCCGCCACCATATTTGTTATTCAATAACCCTACAATTTATAATAACAATGCGATATGATACACATAAGAATCAATAAAATTGCTTTTAATATGCAAAGCAAGAATCATAAATGTAAGATTCGTATATGCAATAATTCTAAAAAAAAATTATTTTATTTATCAAACATACGCACAGAATTGCCCAAAATGTGGGTTTAAGGAAATGAAAACGTATGTTAAACAAAACACAGCCAAAATTCGTCTCTTCAATGTTTAACCTAAATTGAGCAACTAAACAAAGAGTTTCGCACTTTTCCTTACCTCTTTAAGCACTGAGCAAAGTCTATAATTTCGGGGTGGGGGTGATAATATTGCAGTGCAATTTTTCAGCTGATTTCTTTGAATTCAGAACACTAAAAGATAAAATGGTTTTTAAAAATCTAAATTTGTGCCGAACTTTCAAATTGTGAATAAGGGAAACTGGAAGAGTCTTGTAGCGGATAGGATTAGATGGCGAAGACTACTTGGGACTGCCGTGGCCTGTAGTGCCTTGAAAGAAAAAGAAGAAGAAATTCATGTCACGTAAATTCAATAAAACTATTATAAGTCTATGGAATCTGTGAAAATCTTGTAAAATGAACTTTTGACTTTTCAACAAACAAAAAATGTGCTAAGATTTAAAAAAAAAAAATTTACTAAGTTTTTTAAAAAAATTTACTAAGTGATTAAGGAAAATAGATGACAACAGATTACGAATTTATTTCATCCCATTATTAGAATAAAAATTGTCTTCGGTCTTTTTTTTTTTTAAAAAAAAAGTACAGTATCGTTAAAAAAAAGTTTAAAAAATATAATCAATTGCTATGATTGTCTTATATACGCATTTCGAGGTGTGTATATTTTCGTAAACAAGCATTTTTAGCCATGCCCATTTTCTGAAACTCTCATTTTGAGCTATGTCCATTTTCTTAAACAAGCATTTTGAGCTATGACCATTTTCTAAAACACGCATTTTGAGCTATGACTATTTTCTAGAACACGCCTTTTGAGCTAAGTTCATTTTCTTAAATACGCATTTTGAACTATGACCATTTTCTAAAACTCTCATTTTGAGCTATGTCCATTTTCTTAACCACGCATTTTGAGCTATGCCCATTTTCTAAAACTCGCATTGTGAGCTATGTTCACTATCTTAAACACGCATTTTGAGCCATGACTATTTTCTAGAACACGCATTTTGAACTTTGTCCATTTTCTTAAACGAAACTGAACTGCTTACAGAAAAAAAGCTCATCGATGATATATTTGTTTTTATCGACCAAGTATTGGCATACTTCTGAACAATCATTAATATACCCTCCACAATGTCGTTTCCTCATGTTAAATATTATTTATTGTTGGAACTAAAGAGCTAATTCTCCTTATTTTCAAACCCAATTTAAAATTATCATTATTTAAATCAACAAAAAGTCTATACTACAAATGATTATTATAACAAATCTACATTTTAAACTCTATTTTGAAGTTTCAAAGATTTAAAAAAATTGCTCAATTTTAATAGCAACTCGTCTCATTACTTTTAAACTTTATTGTATTCAAATTAACTATACCAAACAGCAGAAATATTAAGATCTGAAAATAAAATAAAAAATTTTATTATTACTGCTTAAAGGTATGTTAACATCAGTTACATATTTTATTATATTTTCAGACAATTGTCCAGTTCATCAAATAAATAATGGAGCTTTCACAAGGCGCTTAGCAAAGGTAGTATGGCGTTGGAACGGTCGTGTCACGGAATACGAATATGTGATGGTAATTTTTAAATTAAGTGAAAATTAAAATATATATTAAGCCATAACATTTTTGTTGCTTTGTGCGTACTGCGGAAACCATCGGTGTGACCCATGGGAGCATATGTGAGACCGGCGCAAGCCAATGGTGCGTACTGACGCAAATGCGATCTTACTGAGGGCTTCGACTGTTTACTGCTGTCTCATGTGTATATTCATAATGTGTTTCTCTCGTATATGTTCAACGCTCGCAGAAATCTCACAACTTGTTACTTACAAGGGAAGTGTGACTCGCCAATTTTGAAATAAAATAATGGGATGTATGCCTTATGAGTAGAGCCCGGATTTTGATGACCTAAAAAATCTCAACTAATGCCCTTAAAAATTGCAAAAAATGCCCTTAAAAAGTGCAAAAAATGTCCTTAAAAAGTGCAAAAAATGCCCTTAAAAATGCTCTGAAAATGCGAAAATGGCGCTAAAAATGCTTTATGACATGACTTAAATAAAGTAAAAATATTGAGCTAAAACAATGTTTTACTCTCTAAAATTATTATGAGTCATTTCAAAAAATATAAAGCAATGCAATACTTGTTCTACGTTCATTAAAGTTTGAAAAATATGTTTTCGATCCTAAAATAACAAAAAAAAAAAGAAAATGTATTGACTCCAAAACATTTTCATTTTGTATAGAAATTTTAATGAATATAACAACTTCCATCTCATAACTCATGTATTACTAAATATCAGATTTACATTGGATTATTAAATGATTTTTGATATTTTGAAATGTAAACGAGCTTCTCTTGTCTGAAAGTAAATTTTTATACCTGCAGAAGCTCCTTTCAACGTCTACTGATGTTATTGGTGCATACTTGAAGAAGACGGTCTCACTTACTGACAATTCTTCTTCAATTTGAAAAGATGTTGCTTCACCTGTTAATATCCTAGAGATTTTCTTCATTGTTTGGAAGTCAGTGTTCTTTCCCAAAACTTTGCTCAATTTAGCTGCTACATTTTGTGCTATCTTTCCCCTTGCTTTTTGCAACACTTTACTCACTACGTCAATATAATTTATTGCATCGCAAAGTTCCAATTCTTGTTTCTCCAAGTTTGTAATTGTCGAGGACACAATAACAAAGTTAGGCTTGATAAATTATAAGTTTCCTTCGATTTTATCAGAGGCCAACATGATTTCATGTAGTAAAAATGCCCCAAAAAATAATAAAAATTGGAAAAAATTAACAAAAAACTTAAAAAATGCTTTAAAATGCAAAATACGGCCCAGAATTTAAAAAAATGCCCTATAAATCTAAAAAAATGCTCTAAAGGACAAAAAATGTCCAAAAATGCAAAAAAAGAAAAAAAATGAAAATGTCATCAAAATCCGGGCCTTACTTATGAGGAATAATCTTAGGGGGCAACATTCGTTTCGGCCTATAGAAGGTCCTGTGAGAGATAAAAAATAAATCAATATATAGAAAAATTGGTATTTTATTACTTCAGTGCAGGCTATTAGTTATTGTAATTATCTCATACTCCAATTAATTTTGCGGTACTTTCACGTACTATGTAATGCATATTTATTGTCAAAACGGATTTCGAAAGTTTTATATATCTGCAGTTTTTCAGAAAAACCTGTTCAGTTAATTTTAAAAAAATTGACATAAAATTTTTTTACATTTTTTTTTTTTCAAAAATTTTTTTAAATCAATTGGAGTATGTAATAATTGCAAATTAATTAATTAATTAATAATTAATTATTAATTAATTAATTAATAATTATTAATTAAT